CGTCTTGATACGTCTTGACGCCTCGGACTCGCCTTCGCCGCGGGGGCCGCAGAGGGCGTCGATTTCGTCAATGAAGAGGACCGAGGGCTTGTTTTCTCTCGCCATGCTAAAGAGGGCCTTGACGAGCCTGTTTTATATGTGTCAGAGCACTGCTTGTGTGTTTTGCTGTCGTTTGCGCAATCGATAAATCAACTGACCTCTCACTCTCTCCCATCCACTTGCTTACGAGATCGGAACTGCTGACACTGAAGAATGTGCTGTTTGCCTCCGTCGCGACCGCTTTGGCCAGATAACTCTTACCCGTTCCGGGAGGGCCGTAGAGAAGGATACCCTTCCATGCCTGACGTTTGCCCTGGAACAGTGACGGGAACTTAATGGGCAGCACGACAGCCTCCTTTAGCGTATCTTTGGCGCCCTCGAGACCGGCGACGTCGTCCCACCGCACATTGGGCCGCTCCTGCAGGATGGCGCCGCTGAGGGCGTTGCGCAGCTTCTTGTTGTCCTCGTCGCCGTCGTCGGCGCTCCCCTTACCCTTGCCGCCGCCATTGACGCCTACGGCCCCGGGTTTGTTCCCGCCCCCGCCACTCTTTTTACTCTCTGCTTCGTTGAGGTATGTTTTGAGCTTCTCGGCGCGGTCCATGTACTCGGCCGTCTTCTGGCGGATGAGCTCCTTTGATTTTGGGTTCTTCTCCCACTTGACAGCGAGGACGAAGAGCTCGAGCGACTTTGTGTATAGTTGGAAGGCCTTGTCGTACTCGGCGGCGTTGTCAGCGTCGATGGCCTGTTTGACCGTGCTAATGGCACGGCCGAGGAAGTCGGTGATTCCCGACATTATTGGCTATGAGTTGACTTTTGTCTCTCGAGGAGCTCGGCGATTAAGCGGCGAGGAAGAGGTGGGATTTCGTGACAAGGTGGAAAGAGCGGGGAAAGCTCTCTCGGTGGGAGCGTCGTCGTGGTCGTCAGCGCCTTTGGCTAATCGCTTCGGGATCGGACGTCGGAAGATAGCAGAATCGATAGAGTCCCGAGGAGGTCTTCGGTGCCTGGCGTAAACGGTTGGAGGGTAGGAAGTTTGGACGGGTGAGGAACCTTGAGGAAGCACTTGCGGGCGTGGATTCTGTGACGTTGCCTGGGCAGTTCGTGATGGACCGCTGCGCTAATCGGGGTGCCTTGGGCAGGTGGTGGGGGTGGGGGACTTGTCTTGGATACTTGAAAACACAAGTTTAGATGCATTAACCGCGTACATGCATGACGTGCTGACGACCTCCGGTATCAGCCTATGCGGCCAAAATAACACGGCAGATAGGCTAAAGCCTTGAAGCCAAGAGCGATCGATTGAAGATCTGGAAATAAAGCTAGAAAAGTTCTCGAATGTAATGAGTGTACTGAAAGTTGTTGAATGTTTCGCATCCTTCGAGACTTACTTCCCGCCGAGGCCCGTATAATTGCCAAGTGGGTTGCTTGATATTCTACTAAACGGTATCCTGATTGTCTGTCACCACTGCACTGAAATGGAATGCTGGTCGAGGTACCAAGTAACTTCTCGCAGACCACCGCTCAAAAGTCGAAACAAGACGAATTATTTCCCAGAGCCTTGGCATTTCGGCGGCGTCTGATTCACAAACTCATCTCATACAAAAGCCGTTGGACCGATCCGCGGCATTCTTCCCGACTATTTTCGCACCGGCCAATATTCTAATTTGCAATTTTCACACTCACCTTCAGTGAACCCCTCACACTCATACTCATTCCCCAACCATGGCTGAGGTGCAAGCAAAGCTGCAAAAGCTGTCGGAGGAATACCAGGCACTGCAACAGGGTACATTAGCGAAATCCAGTGATCAATGACGCGATATTTACTTATGTCTCATTAGAACTTCAAACCACTGTCCAGTCGAGGCAAAAGCTGGAGGCTCAGAGGCAGGAGAACCTTGGCGTAAAAGAGGTAAGTGAACTCTGAGGATCTGGCTTTCACGACCACAAGGCTGATACATCTTTCAGGAGTTCGACAAGCTCAAGGATGGCGAGCAGATCTATAAGCTGGTCGGACCCGTGTTGCTGAAGCAGGACAAGGTGGAGGCCGAGAGCACAGTCAAGGGCCGTCTTGACTTCATCACCAAGGAGATGTACGTGCATCACAAGTGCTTTTCGTCTAGCAGACTTTACTTACTAACGCTCAACAGTGAGAGACATGAAGGTTTGATCAGGGACGCCCAGAGCAAGCTGGAGAAGAAGAAGGGCGACATCATTCAGATCCAGACCAGCGCACAGGCTGCGGCGGCACAGGCACAGAAGGCATGATGACGGCGACAGTGACAGCAACAGTGGATGAACGGGATCGGGAAAAAAGGCAAACAAAATGAAGGTCTGATGAGAGTGGTGATACAATTAAAAAGCTACTAGGACTATGAACTATACCCAGCAATGCTCCGATAAGATTCCTTTACAAAAACGCCATGCTCATGCAACCCTGTCCCGGCGGCGATACCCTCGCCACGCGAGATCTCAAAACGTTTCATTATAGCAGTCATGATCATCTGCACCATCCTACCCTTCTAGTTGAGGGCCATGATGGAAAAGCCCCACGGCAAACCCATGTTGCGCGCGGGCAACTCCGTCGCCCAGCCAATGGCGTTCTGGTACTCGTCCTCGGACGTAAACTCCGCGTCGTTGACCTTGCCCTCGACGGCGCCCATGATGAGGTCGGCAATTTGGCTCGTCGTGTAGCAGCGCCCAAAGATGCGGCTCTCCTCAATGGTGCGAATCATGGCGGAGCGGAGCTCGCACTCTGCAAAGCGCTGGACCTCGCGGTCGAAGCTGGCCTGCGTGACAGGGCCCTGGTGATGCGCGGCGAGCTTCTGGAAGAAGGCGACCATGCCAGCGATGGCTTGGGCGAGCATGTGCGCCTTTGTGGCGTCGTCGAGGTAGCTGGCCATGGAGGAAGAGTGCTGCTCGATGAGGCCGTGGACGTCGTGGTCAAAGGTTGCGTGGACGACCTTGGAGATGCTGTCTGGGGTGAAGAGGATGCCCTCTGCGTCTTGGATGTTAAAGGTCTTTGCAATTTCGGCGTAGCATTGGGAGAGGGTTGTCCAGAGGGAGACGTTGTTTTGGACAGAGGCTTTGCCCATGCTTAGTGTGAAGTGGGACATGGTGCTGTCGATGCTTTCTGGGCGAGTTGTTAGTTTGCTGATGTGATTTTGGGTTGAGTTGGGCGGCTTACTTCTGCAAGTGGTGGAAGACATGGTGGCGGTGATGTATGTGAGGTCTCACGATGATTTGGTGATGGGCTCGTAGATGGAGTAAATGGATATACACTGGTATTTGTGATTAAGATGGATGAAGATAATCAAGCAAGTCTACTGGACCTCAACATCAACAAAGGCGGAAAACTTCTCCTTTAATCTCGACTGGATTGTAGCCTTGTGGCCTCATCGGGAGATTCTTCCATGTCCAGCCAGGATGGCTCAGATGGTGGCCATCCCTGAATATGCCATGGCCGGACGGACGAACACATGGCAAGGACTAGTCGACATTGGGTCCCCAGTCTTTGCGGGAGATGCCCGGCGGCGACCCCCATTTGGCATCAACACTTGCGAATTGCAAAAGCAAGGCGGGACAAAAACAGGAGCTTGAGTGCGGTCATGTCCTCCACATTCCCGCAAAAACATCAAGCCATCTCGCCGTCAGATTTGGGCTGGATGGCAAGATGCGATAGCTGATAACCTGACGACTCGGCACCGCCACGGCCGCAACTTGAGACAATGGGAAACGTGGAACATGTACCACTGTAAATGACCAGGAAGAGGGTCTTGACCATCCAGTCGCCAGACCGCCCGAGATCTATCTTTGTGTCTCTCTCGCTCACCGGCGACCAGCGGAAAGGAAAAAGCGTGGGGGGCAAGCCGTTCATTCGACTCAAGCAACGGGAAAACATGCACGTCAGGGAACATGCGACCCGGTTCAAGCAGGCGGTGGAAGCAGTCGAGCATGGTGCCATGTTGAGACCCGAGCCGCAAGAGGATCAATGCGGATGGAACCAGGGAACGGCTTCACCGGCCCGCCTGGGCGCAATTCGGGTTGCTTTGGTTTCCCAGCAAAACAGCCTGCTGGATAATTACCCTATTCGTGGTAGAGCTGAGTCGGTTGGCGAAAAAGTAGGACGAAAAATTGGGCGCGTTCCGACATTTTCCGATCTTGGAATGAGGCGAGCGTCTGGCCCCCTTCAACCTTGCTTGTCGGTGTCCGTTGGATGGCGGGCAAATGAGAGAGGTCTCGTAAATCGAACGGAAATACGGGCGAGGTGATGTCTATGTACAGTTTGTGTTGTAGCTCGATGAGGCCCTGATGCTTGAAATTTTCATTGCATCGTGGCAATGCGATGGATCATGGAAAACTTCAAATTTTCTAGTTCATCTCTTAGATTTCCAGCTCACCTCAGTGACATTCTGGAAGCGGAATCGAGACAATGGCCCGGATCCTCCCGCAAATGACGGCCCAACAAAGCGTGAACCCTTGCTGTTTCTCACCTCAAACTACTGGCGCTTACCGCTCTCGGTGAACATGATGCGGTAAGCCGATCTTCGGTGTAGACCCAGTCACGTGCCTTTGGCAGTGCCCACGTGATGCACTCTTGAACGAGGCCCGAGCTCTCTCCCGTGCCCCTCCATTTGGTGCGGACCTTGTCGGTTTCCCCCCCATCCATGGCGGGGTGCTGCTGGGCGTGTGCTTCAGGCTTCAGGCTTCAGCCACGAGTGGCTCCTCTAGCGCTTCGTCATACGGTCCCTGGGACGAAACTCGCAAGACGTCTTTGACCAAACGGTCGACCGCTTGCTACCTCAAGGCTGCCACGCTTGGCCTTTTGTTCTGAGAAACATGCCAACATCTCCCTGAACGGTGTTTGTCACCACCAGCGACCGAATATCCAACGAGACACCCCTGTGCTTGAACCACAATACACAGTCAAAGCCGGACCGGAGAGCTCCAACTCCTCCGACATCACCAAGATGAACGGCCCTTCGAGTCCCAGGCCCGCGCGGCCCATGAGCATCAAGGAGATTACTCTAGCAGCAGAGGATTTCGACTTTAGGACTACAATTCCCTTCAAGTACTGGGCGCGATCTGCAGACACATTGTTCCAAGAGGTTTGTGCCCCATTTCGGGTTGTTCGTTTGCCTGCGCAGCACCCGCTAATGACAACGCGATCTAGGCAACCTTTGCGCTTCAAGATCGCGACATACGAAAAGCATACCAAATGCTATGGCGACACTCAATACTAGTCCTTACCCATTTGAAAACACATCCCGATGCCAAGTTACCCGAAAATAAGGCGCTCACAAAGCCGTTGTTCGACCGCCAGAATAAGGAGGTATTCGGGCTATTGGAGGAATTGAAGCCGCAAATCGACCGCGATTACAAGGAATGGCAGTCGATGAGTGCGTCAAAACAGAGAGAAGATGACGAATTTACCACCAGACCCACAAGCTACAACGAGTTTGCTGCCCGAGACCCGACCTTATCCGGAAACGCCAAGATCCTCGATGCCGCCGATAACCAGGAACTTGCAGTCTCTTTGGCGCAACGAGACTACAAAAGGCGAGATGCTGCAAGGAGAGCGACGCGACAGGCTGGCGTTAGCGCCGAGGAAGAGCAGGAGCGCAGGAAGGGTGGCCGCTGGGAGGATTGGGAGCAGTTCAGCAGCCCAGCGACGGCCGCGTCAGAGGAGGAAGATATAAGGAGACAGATCGAAGCAACTCGGCGCCGGCTCGACGGAACCGACGGGGGAAGAGACGAAGATACCTTTAACACCTCGCAAGCTTCAAATTATCAAGGCCAGGTGCCACCGCCGAGAGCTCCTCCCAGCTACTCATACAACTACCCGTCTATATCACGACCAAGGGCGCTGGAATGGGAGGCATCGCCGTTGGAACCGCAGCGCACCTACACGCCGCCACCGCCTCAGCCACCGAAACCGCCAAAGGAGGACTTTACGATGATGCGCCAGGAGCTCGATGCGGCACCTCCTATGAGGCCGAGCAAGGAGCCATTAACGTCCTATAGGCCGCCGTCAACAGCCAACGCGCTGCAAGGAGGCGTCCCCGAGTTGCCAGCCAAGGAGGAGGTGATGCCACCGGCAGCAAAGGAGCGGCTCGCCTTCAAGCCGGCAGCGTACCTGGAGAATGGTGACCCTATCCGACCCGTGTTCCTCCCAACACAGCTTAGGGATACCTTCCTCAATATTGCATCTGAGAACACCCGCAGAGGCCTCGAAATGTGCGGTATACTTTGTGGACGACCCGTTAACAACGCGCTGTTCATCAGCTGCCTTCTTATCCCTGAACAAAAGTGCACACCGGATACGTGCGAGACGGAAAACGAATCATCAATGCTGGATTACTGTATCAACGAGGATCTTTTGGTTGTGGGCTGGATTCATACGCATCCTACGCAGACGTGCTTCATGAGCTCGCGAGACCTACACACGCAGGCTGGGTACCAGGTCATGATGCCAGAGAGTATCGCCATTGTGTGTTCTCCAAGGCATTCTCCATCGTAAGTGGCATCTGTTTCTTCGAACACACAACAATGGCTAACCTAGCTTCAAGGTATGGCATCTTCCGCCTCACAAACCCGCCAGGACTCCCTCACATCCTGCAGTGCACGGCGTCGGAAACTTTTCACCAGCACTCCATCGATAACCTGTACACTGGGGCGAAGAATCCGCCCGGTCATGTTTACCACTCGGAGAAGCTCGACTTTTATGTGAAGGACTTGCGTCCGAAGAGGTAAATGAGGAGAACGAAACATTTGCCTTGATGGTGAATTAGAGAGCTACTACCCCGTTCAGCTCAGGGCGGTCGGCATAATTGATGAGCTGCTGCCACTGTTGATGACGCATCAGCAGTAAGAGATGTATGGAGCAGTGCTGTCCCGATCTGCAGCGCAAGTATGGGCTCCGGGCCATCTTTTGATTTGTTGCATGGCGAGGGCGTTGGACAGCCGATAGCTACGGGTGCGGGTATGCTCATCGAGCAACTTAGCTGGTAGGAATGACAATGTCGGGACTCCGCGGACTGTACTGCACAATGCAAAGCCATACGGCGGTACTGTTGAACAAACGTCCCGTCTCCATGTGACGAGGAGCACGGCTGGACGTGTCTCATCCGAGCTCGAGGCCCAGACCGTGGTGGGCCATCTAACCTCAGATAGCCGAGAGGGAGAGTTGTATGAGCTTGCTTTTATCTCATGAACACCTTGCTTACTATGTAGGGACTCGGCAAGCAAGCAAGCACTCTCAGAGTTTCGCAAGAAATGACTGAAATGAAATTCCAAATTAGGCCAGAGCGCTGTGTCCTGCATTGTCCGTCCCATGATTTTGATCGTGTCCCGTCGTGAGCTCACCTCCACCACAGGCCCTCCGGAGCACTTTGGCCGGGTGTCGTGGCCCGGCGAACCATGACGTCACTGCCGCGGTCTAGCGACTTGTTTCCTCCATGTGAGCTAAGGAACTCACTCTCGTTCTTTTATAAACACCAACGAGCCCTTTCGCACCATATCGTCACGAAAAGGGAACTGTATCCAAAAGAAATAATCCAACCAAAAACGACGTCGAAAAGGTAGATATATCAACAAGTGACTACAAAATGGCGTTCCCGACGAACATGCTGGGCATCCTCATCGCCCTCGTCAGCGCGTTTGCCCTCGTGCACTCTGCAGACTCGATCCCCAGACTACTCAAGTACGAGGACAAGGCCAAAAAGGCAGCGGAATGGAGCAGGACGGCAGAGAAACAGCTTTGGGAAATCAGATATACCGTCGGAACAGGCTTCGTCGGCGTACGTCCAGCACCCTTCTCTCACAGCCCAGCACACTTCTCCCTCTCTCACTCTCACTCTCACACTCACTCTCTTTCACACTCACTGTCACTCTCCACCAAACTCATGATATACTGACGCCCCATCTCCCGCAGTGCCTCGTCTCCGCCATCGGCGGCATCGCCTTCTCCCTCGTGGTACCCCGCGGCCTCGGTATCTTCACCGTCGGCTTCCCCATCATGCTCGCCGCGGGCCTGACGTATGGACACCAGTACATGCGCCAGTTCTGGGCCTCGAAGCCCAAGGTGCCGATGATGAAGGATTTCAACGAGGCGATTTCGGACTCGATGATGGTGCAGGATATGATGAACCCCTTGGCTGGCGCGTGGGGTCTCATGACGTTTTGTAAGCTTGTTGGGTTGTAGACGGACTATGGTCCGTTTCTCACGGGATGAGTTTGGCTGCACAGCGCTGGGTTGTCATAGTGTAGACCAATTCGGGTCCTTGGCATAATGCATCGCATAACGGCGTCTTTGACTCTTTCCAATACACGCTCATAATCTGCATCACGCCCTCGCATCCCTCCTCATATAAACCCACGAATACCGCCCCCAAGACTCTTCACTCCCAGTGACACCCGCCAACTTCCCACCAGGCTTCACCCCGCCCGCAAACTCATCCAATTCCGCCTCCAACCTGCCCACCTCGCGGAACCCCTGCCTCTCAAACGCCTTCTGCCCGCCCATGGACGACTGAACCCAGCAGTACACGCCCGGTTCGCGATCCGCCTTGTCGGTGCCCCACTTCATCAGCGCCGAGCCGATGCCGCGGGATTGGTGATCCGGGTGGACGACGTAGGTGCACAGGAACCTGCATTTGCAGCTGTCGGGCATGAAGCGCTTGACCCAGTAATTCATTGATGCGTTTGTTAGGGCGCCGAGGTCGTCTATCGTCTTCCGCTTCCGCTTCTGCTCCGAGTCTGTGAAGAATGTCTCGGCCCGGGGTTCTTCGTCCGGTCCGTCGAGGGGGAGGTCAGTGTCGCCCGCGAATCCTCGTCTCACCCACCCGGCCCAGCCCACAGGTCCGCCGCTTGTCGCGTCTTCAGCGACGATGACGTCGACTTTGGGGTGCGCGATCCAGGCTTTCAGCGCGTCTTGCATGCCCTTTGGGAAATCGTCGTCGCCGCGGATGGAGGCTTTGAGCTGGGTGTGCGAGTCCGATTTGCAGGCTGCATCGGAGATGGAGGCGAGGGCGGGGATGTCGGCTTCTGTTGCGGGGCGGAGGGTTACGATGGCTTTGGCGGGACGGGATGCCGTTGTCGGTGCCGTGGCGGTTGCCGGTGCGGCGGAGGTGGTGGTGGATGGGGATGCCATGGCTTTGCGGGAGCTTGGCGCTGGGGTGTCGGGCGATGGGATGAATGACGGACACCGGGTGCGGGGACTTGAAGGGCTTGGCACGGGGGTGAGGATGTTGTAAAGGGGGGGGGGGGGATGATGGACGGGGAGGGCCGGTCGAGGTGCTTTATTCTACTTGGATTTGGGACTTTGGGTTTACTTTGATGGGTTTGCTGTATGCTGGGCAATCCCCGAGTAAGCTGACCGGGTGACTCAATCGGGGAGAGACAGCCGGCATTCCCGATACGGATGGTGGAAGACGGAGCGCATCGGACTTTTGGGCCGGTGCATCTTTTACCTGGCTGTAATAGGAAGGACGGATGATTTTGCTGTACATGGTTTCTCAGGTTACCACAGGAAGAAAAAAAGATCTTTGGCACCCTAGAATAACAATGAACAATCGACCCACTTGCGCCAAACCAATTGCACCAACACAAACCTGATACATGGGCACTCGCCGTATTCTTTGCTAATCTCGAAATGCCTCTGGCCTATCCCTGAACCTTCAATGATCTTGACGAGGCTAAGACCATGTACTCAACACGCGAGGGTATCAAGGCTGCTGTCGATGCGTATCGTGCACACATAGCTGGACGGAATCGCCGAGCCCTTGAAGTCTACGGTGCGTGCACTGCATTAAGGACGGTCCTTGTGAATTGAGGCTGATGCATAATATCCAGTGCAACTTGCCACGAAGGTTGAGCTCGACCCGGAGGATTGGGGAGATGAAGCCGAAGATTTGAGGGCAGACTGTTTTGGGAGCATCCTGAGCCGGAACGATGCCCGGACCTTGATATCAAGTCCAGAGGATATGCTTACCAAGTTCGATGAACTCGCACCACTTTACGATCTTGACGGTTGCGGGGGGTCTATCCCAACTAGCCACGACCGAGAGTTGTATTTCTCCCGCCTAGAGAGCGCGCTAAAGGCAAAATGTCTCGAGGAAGTTCGCGATAGCATTGCTGCTCCCCCCGAGCTTCGCATTCTTGCCGAGTACGTGAGTGCACTGACTGGACCCGGGATGGGAGAGACCAAGTGGACGTATCAGGCCGTGTTCTGGACCGGGGCGAGCCCTCAGACGGAGTCCATGATCGATGCCACGGTTAAGAAACCTCAAGAGCTTGCGGTTGATGGGTGTTGGGATGTCGCTGGGGGATGGAAATCTGGGGACGGCGTTGAGAACTTCTTTTACATAGTCTACTGCCGGAGAAACCGGCCCGACGGGGAGGTTGAGCCATGGGCTTGGCGGTACATGGCATATGGCCCGGACGACAACAAAACCTTCGATACGATCCCGGAGTTGCTCGAGTGGTATAGTCGATATCGAGAAAGAGAGGTGCCTGATATTGAGGACCTGGACGCGGAAGGGATACTGGAAGGGAACATGTACTAGTTGGGATACACGCTCTATGTTAGATCCAGCCTCTACGGTTTAGATTTGCTTCGTTACAAGCCGCCAGCGACAGTTTCTATTCACCCGCGCAGCCTGACAGAAAACTCTTTCCGTTTACGACATGGAGGTTTTCTTCGGTCGTGGTCCATTAAAGGCCTGAAGTGTCATTTCCGAGGGAACGGGTATAATTGGGTAACACATAATAGTCTCGGTAATTCATCAGATACTTACTATCGTCATAGCTATCGTATTCGGGTCTGTGAAGCAACCGACGACCTACTCTGCTTATTGCTCATGGATGTCTGCCTTGATTACGGGACCAAGGCTGGAATAGACATTGCCTCATTTGAAATCTCGATGATGTTCTAGGCTATCCGAGGCGTGATTGCTGAATGGGGGACATTCGCATGGTGTAAGGAGATGTGATATAAGAGGTTCAAGGGAGAGTCTGTAGATCATGTCACTATGGGGAAATGACCGTTGATAATGTGGGGAACTCCGTTTCTGTGCCGTCTCCTTTGGGAAAATGTCATATTTTTGGCTACAGTATCACAAGCAGCTGATGCGCAGTTTCCCTCAGCAAGAGGCTCATTGGTCACTGCAGGGGGTTAGACCTCAGTGATGTATCGCGAACTAATGGTGTGAGCTTCTTCATCAGCCTTACAACTTCGTCATCAAACCAGTTCATAGAAAATATTCATCATGAAAAAGCTAATGCTGGATAACTGTAACATGAATTACAGTATCATGTGTTGCAAAAAGCTGTGTCAAAGATTTGTGTAGGGCAACCACTTCCAGATCAGCAAGTTGGCCATGCCAGCCTTGACGCATACGGACGGACTTACACGTAATCAGAGCCTTGATAACCCTGTAGAATCTAGTTTTCGACTTTGATGAATTCTTAAACTTGGAAAAAGTTTTGAACAATTATTCAAGCGTCTCCAGGTCTTCAGGCGAAACTGAAAACATCGTCATTTGAACGGATACTTGGTGCAACTTGAATCATTTTGATACAGTGGCGACAATATCAACCAAGATCGAACTTGAAATTCCGTCAAAGACAAACCTGGCACAACGGCTACGAGTGCCGTTGAAAACCAAGATTATCGCAAACGTGTGGCATCACGACACATCGGGAAGTAGCATCTCCACACGCTCGGTCGTTCGTGATGGATGGTCCAGATTCCAGACGATCATGGCAGAATTTCTAACACCAGCAAACTTGCGGCCGAAATCTCTCCCAGCACACTACGGCTATCACGTAAAGCACACTTCCAGAAACTACTTGGACATTCATTCGGCAACTTCTGCCGTAAAGAGGTGAAGGGGGGCACACCTGTCAGTGGGAGACTTCCACGGAAAGACGTGCATCCTTTCGAAGCTTAACGGTGGAAGCTTTTCTACTGAGCCGACGTTGAAATACGGCGGCATTTTACCTTTGTAATGCGGATAATGCAGGACTACCCTAGGCCAAGATCTGCAAGATTTGCACTAGACCAGCACACCAGTGCTACCCAGCAGGTCTGCACGTCCTTTCGGCTCCATTCTACGATACGGGTACGAACACGTCGGAGGAATGATTCGACCACGTTGAACGACGGGAGGAGCACAAGAGCAAAGGGGGCTAGAGTATCGTAGAGTTTGGCAGACAGCCCAATCCCGGCCTCGCCTAGCGAGGAAGCGTGGGCATCGCTGGGAAAGCGCACCGTTATATGCTATGCCGCTTGTCGCAAGCTTAGGCAATGTGATATGCATAGCAGAACGTTGCCGATAACTTTCCACGAGAGCCAACCGATTCATTAGACGTTAATGCGACCGCCCCGGCGCGGGCATGACGTTAGTTTCTCATCGAATGCCCGTTGCGGTAAGACCCTCGTCGCGGAACGACAAGCCACAACCCTGAAACTCCCAGACAACTCAGCGCTGTTGGGCCACCACCTTGCCTGCGCGCACGTAATATGCAACAGCTTTGCCGTGTAGGAATCTTCACGAGCCGTTGGCCGTTGCAACGATTATTATGCTTGTGGATAGTAATTCTTGGACGACTCTCGGTTATCGCACCGTTGAGACTTTCAAGATTCATCCCAGCGTTTCATCCCAAAGATGCTGGTCTGTCGGGACGTTTTATGACGTACTGACAGGTTCCGCGATCGAAAAAAAAAAGTTTCTCGATGCCCGTGGGGAGCATATTAAGGGTGAGATAAGGCCCGAGTCATAACTATGGGATGCGGGAAAGGAGGTTTAAGAGAATCATAAAAGTTCTTTGACACCCTGCAGCGAAGCCCAGTTTAAATGTCAAGTTAAACGCCACAACTCAACTCTCAAATACTATAATCGGAAAGTCAACAAACGAATTACCACAATGCTCGGCATCGGAGGCCGGCTATCTGCTATTGTTCCTATTATTGCTTCGGCGGTCGCCGTTGCGCTCTCTATTGTGCTGCTTGCAGCTGGGACAAACACAAGTAATGGAGGCAACAACTACTGGTTGTCGGTAAGTCGCAACTGTCCTACAAATGCTCAAAGAAACAGTTCACTAACGTCAATATCATAGCTAAACACATCGAAAATCGGTCAAGACATTGTTCAAATCAAGGCGGCCAACAACACCAACGGCGGAAATGGAGGCGGCAGCATCATCCCGGGCATCCCCGCACCCAACGATCCGACCGGCATCACGGAGGGCCTCGGGAGTGTTCTGGGAGGACTGCTCGGAAACTTGACGAATGCAGTCGGTGATGGTGTTTCGGATATTCAGGGCCAGCTCGTGGGAAACTTGACGCAGCTGTTGGGCGTCAAGGACAACTACCGGCTCTACCTGACAAAAATGTGCGAAGCGACTTACGCCGATGACAACGACCCAAACAGCAAAGTCACTGTCAACAACTGCGAGAGCTACGACAACACAGGAGCTGGTATGTTTCTCGTTCTTCTAACAGTCTTCTTATGTTAGGGAGAATCTATACTAACGCAACCTCAACAGGCCTGCGAAACATCACCAACTCAATCCCCTCCTCCTTCGTCGTCGGCACCGCGAACGTCTCCGTCCCCCTCGTGGCAGCCATGGCAGGCACCCTAGACCAGGTAGTCGATCTCGCCAGCGGCGGCGCAAAAGCAATGACGGCGCTGCTCGCCATCGGCGCAATCTCCACCGGCATCGTCCTCCTCGCCACGCTCCCCATCCTCATCGTCGGTTTCATGCGCGTCCTCGTCCTCGTCTCCCTCGTCTTCTCCATGCTTGGCGCGTTTGTGATCCCGTCGTTTGCTATCGTCACGACCTCGCTCATCTACGGCGGCAAGAGCATGCTCAACAAGTCCATGGCTGCGTTTGGCATGCAGATCCAGACGGGTGGGCCCTTTGTGGCCATGGCGTGGGTTGCGGCTGTTGCGTCGATGGCTGCCGCATCGTATTGGTTCATGGTTTGGTTTGTGAGCTTTAGGCGTACTGCATTTAGCAGGCGTAAGCGTACGGAGAACGAGATTGGTAACTGGCGTGGTATTTTCCGAGAGGTGAAGGGGGATATGCGCACTTGGGAGGGCGGCGAGAAATAATTGAGGGGGTGTCGACCGGTTATGTCGCCTGAAGATATGGCATCGGGCATGCTTTACTTTTCTTTTCAGAACACATGGTTGAACAGTACATACTGAAAAGGTGGAGGATGTGTTGATATTGACCTACCGTATTAGTAATTAGGGATCGCTCCTAGTCCTTCTTGAATTCACATGATACCAAAGCCACGGTGTTACACCCAACTGTGCTGAGGTGGAAATAATCCACTGTAGGTCGATAGCATGTATCTACGGGCCAGACATACCAAGAAAATTCTCATTGAGTTCTCTGTTTGAAGTTCTAATGTACACAAGCCGACCAGATCCCGCTCTGATCGAAGCATGAAATGAAAACATTGCAAAGTGGCCCTACTTAATCCAGAAATGCTCGCCAAATATCCTTGCTCTTTTGACTTGAAAACGCAAGAAAACTCTACCGAATAGTGACAGGGTGGCGAGGCTTAGCCCTACGCTTGACGACTCCTCCCCCTTGTTTGCGAATCTTTTGCTGTACGAGTTGCGCGTCACGCCGGTCAAGAACTGCACGAGAGTGTACAATGAGTGGAACATTGACGTCGAGTCTACCGCCTTGCCGGGTAACTGGACGGGATGCAGGAATGCTTGGCGGATCGTCAATGTCCATTTTACTCGACCACTGACGGACGGGTGCTGGCTGAGCTTGCTGAGAATGGGGAGGAGAACTTCCTGGAGGATAGTATGGCTCAATCTTCCCTGGCTTGGTTGTCAAGCCTCGGCCTTCGAAGAGAGCGTTCAACATCCATGCAGCGGAGGCGCGACGGTCCGGTTCAAGCACAGCCATTGGTGCGAGAGCCTTGAAGGTTTTGACCGAGTTCATGAGTGTGTTCCTGGACAGGTTGTAGAACTGCTCCTGGCTAATACCGGAGCTGCGTGGCGGGAACATCTTCATCCTGGTCGAAAGTGCGACGTAGGTTGCGTATAAGGACCACACATCCATTTTATGGTCCTGCTTATATTGCATTTGTGGGAGGTTGGATATACGCGGCCAGAGCTCGGGAGCCTGGTACGCGACGGTACCGCACATTGTGTGTGCGAGCTTCTGGTGGTTGGCGAGTCCGAAGTCGGCCAACCGGAAAAGGTAATGGCCTGGGTTGGAGACGTCGACATCGTACAAAATGTTCTCGGGTTTCAAGTCGCGGTGGACATATCCCAGGCTTGCCAGATAGTCAAGGGCGCAGAGCATCTGCTCTAATACCTCCCAGCAAGTTTCCTGGTAGTGCGCTTCCGGCATATCAAGCCTGAACATCTTTTCCGCGGAGCTCTCGCAGAATGGCATTATGATCTCAGGTTCCATAGTGTCGACCTCGCTGTAGCCTAGATATTGGATGATGTTTGGCTTTACCAAGTATTAGTCTAGTGATACAAGATGCGAAGGAAATGCTGCAACGAGAGTAAGCAAAGATGGAACGTACGTGGTTGGTGCTCTGCATGACTCTGAGCTCTCTATGAAAGATAGCTCGAGCCCTGTTGATGTCGAAACCGTCGACTTTGAAAAACTTGCGTAATTGGATTACTTTGATGGCAATCCATGCTGAAGTCTCCAGATCTTGGCTCCTGTATACTTTGCCAAAAGCTCCCTCACCTATTTGTCGGCGCTGAGCTCTATCCTCCCGGACCACGGCATGCTTCGATGTTCGTGGTCTCGTGATTCGATGTGATACCAGTTCGGATAACTCAGCCCCTGTAGGCATGTCGCGTGATCCCATGGCTTTCAACAAGGAGAGTGATTGCTTGCAGGTAGCTTCTGCAAGCTCTGCGAGGCGTTGGTTATTGTTGCTGGGAGTATCAGATATGACTCTCCAAACCAACGCGAAGCTATAGGATGAGATCTGGATGTTGTAGTTCTGCCCGTAGAGTATGACGACCTCGCCATCGACAATTTTGTTGCCCGGTGTACCATCTTCGACGCCGCGTCGAGGGTCGCGTGCAGCGTCCAAGTCGATCCCGGAATCTTGAAGGAGTAGTCCGACAGAGACGGTAGGCACTTGCTTCTTCGACCTAACAGACAGGTGCACGAGCTTTGTCGATTCCTCGAATTCGAAGGCGACGTGCTCCCGACACATGGGCTCTGAAGCAGTGTTTCGAGTAAGAACAAGATCGCCCTTTCGGCCCAGCCTGGTGATTACGTAGCCTCCAGTGGATGGGACATGGAATCCAACCTCCAGGCCGAGTTGCCTGGACCAAGAACTGCTTAGACGACAAAGGGGACGACAATGGAAAAGATAATGACGAAGGAACCAATAAGTAAGTCAACAATGAGTGAAAGAGCGCTCGGCCATGGGATGGGTGTTGAAATGGGAGGATTACCTCGGTCATTTTATGAAGACAGCATGAAGTGTGTTCGTCGGCTCTTTTCTCAGGCGGCATGGCGAAAATCGCTGTATGTATTATGCCTTTTACTTCTTTTCTTAGAATACACGACCAACATCGTGCAACGGTAGCACCAACATCGCGGCAGGTGGCCGAAATGGCCGCTGGGCCAGGCGACTCGCTTTGAGGTTGGTGATGGAGGCACGGATTGGCCAATGACAAGGATGAAAACGGGGCTATCTAAGCGCGCGGATGGGCCGGCTCTATTTCCGTCGGGTAAGTGTGGGTAAGGTACCCGTACCCTCAACGGCTACCTAAGGTAGTGGGCCTTAGGCACTAAGGTGTATCCAGGATACAAACGATTGCTTAGATAATGCAGCCAGAACTTCCCAGCTCACCACACTCCCCCAATTCCCGACGCGTGCCCCCAAGCTCAAGCTTTCATCTCAACCTTTCGCACCATAGACCCTGCCATCCACGGCTTACAACCACATTCATGTCGGCAATTTTCTTCTCCGAATCATAGCCACTCGCCGTTTTTCAAGCCATGCCTCGTTATTTGGACCGACTCCAGCTGGGCAGGGCCTTGCGGGATCACGCGAACCCTCTTCTTGAGGCAATTGCTGCCAATGACAATCTGCACGCCCATTATCTCAAGCGCTTCGAGAATGACGAACCTCCGCAGTACAATTCGGATACCTCATCAGAATACGATGAAGATGACGCTCCTGCAGAAGACCCTCAGGAAGTCATTGAGCGACCGCTCGATGACGACGACATCAAGTGGATTGCATTTGCAATGGGGCCTCAGATAACTCCTGGACAGCTTTATCGTGCAGAGTCAAAGCGCGAAGAGAAGCGGATCTGGGACCAATGTCCCGGTCCAGTCTTTTACAAGCCCAAAGGCATCCGCCGACAAGCCATCGTCGTTCGCCACAATATGAAGAAGCGTTGGGAGAAACTCGGCATCTGGAATCCCGCATGGGGATTTGCTGGACGCAACGTACAGTCCAACGATGACCCTTCCAAATGGAGATGGAGATGGGAACAGGAAAATGGCGAAGAGACCGATGGCCAGAGAGGAGAAGAGGACCTCATCACACGTACGCTCCTTCCTCGAAAGAACTTGCGACGTGGCGAGCACGTACCTGTCGAGCCGCAGCCCTCGCTCGTAGAAGGTGCCACTGCCCCTGAGGCTGAGACATTTCTCACATCCAGGCCTTGGTTTATGTATAAGCTTGAAGTCACCGAAGAGAAACAGCGAGCTGATCGCGTGTCCTTCAAGGATCAGCAGAGACTGCCTCAGAGTTCATGCGTGGAGCAGGTCATTGAGCGATGGAAAGCGCGTGGGGATTGGAAGGATGAGTACGATGAAGACGGCGTTACGTCTTGGAGGTGGGGGCACGAGTCTCCTTCTCCAGAGCCCGAAGACCTTACGCCCATACAAAACATGGCAGAATCTGATTCGCTGGACGCTCTGGTCATGGATTTTACACCGTCTGAGCTCGATGAGCTGGAGGCCAACGAACTCCCTTGGGACGAACAGCCGGAAACCTATTGGGTTACTCCGAAAGGCATGGAAAGAATGCCTGGGTTTCCCGGTGAGATGCCGAAGAGTCACAGTGCCGATTACCACTCGCCCCAGATGCATATCTCGCGGTCGGCTCCTGCTGAAGCTCTTGGCTCGAGAAAGGAAGCACTGGAAAAGAGAGGCGCTAGGAGCCGGCTCTCCGTAGATGCATCAGCAAAGAAGCCTCCAAAACCGCGAGAACCCGCTTTGAACCACCCACCACAGAAGATACAACGTGGTCGTCCTCGCGAACCACAGAACGAGACGGCCATCACCCAGGATCTCGATCAGTCCTCCCATGTACCTCGGCGTAGTGCCAGGATAGCCGGAAAGAAACGCTCAGCCGAATCGATTCCCGCAGAAGCGCCACCTACCAAGAGAGCCAGAGGCCGGACTGCCTCGCGTGTTGGTCAGCTCACTGTGTCGGAGTCTGGGCCGACGAAGAAGGGCTCTGCGCAGGCACGACCGCCGCCTCAGAAAGAGACGAAGCCTGTGCCCAAGCGAGAAAGGGCTCGCCCGAAAAAGGGGACACCGAAACCTGCCCCTGTGAAGACAATCATCAAAGGCCAACCTGGACAGGCACGAGGTCGAGGACGATCTAGCAAGAAAGGCTCGGAGCCTGAACCATTGCAAGAGAGCCCACCTAAGAGAGGACGAGGACGACCGCGAAAGGAGAAGGCTGCTACCGCACATTCTTCTAGTTCTAAGAAGAAGTGAATGAGTAAACACAATTCGAGGCCAAGGACCACACAGGACTGAGTACAAGTAGTGGTTAAAATTCTAGCGAATGGACGGATGAAAGAGAATTTTGCAGGAGGAAAGCGGGGAAATGGAATCTTTTCACTACAGAGACAGAGGTTGAGGACGCTGAGGTTCTCGTGTCGATGATCCAAGTTTCTACCTAGATCGCACCAATATCATGTGCCATTATGTCTTTCCATCCCCCCTCTGGTCACTCTGTTCATCTTGCCTATTTATACTGGCTCGCTTTAGGCATCCATTGAAACTCGCTAAGGACGTAACGCTAGTAAGCGCCGTCATTTTCTCCTCATTCAAACGATCTTATGAAGGAATGCAACTTTCGCATACGTTATATGTAAAGAGCGTAGTAACTTCCGTACGCGAAGCAAACAAGCTAGAAGAGTAGGGACTGTCATAATGCAAACGCTACAGATATAACGTGTAAGCCGTATCAACCTTCAACTTGGTCCCTTGTACCTTGCTAACTGGCTGCCCAACAACTAATCACACCTGTCTCTGAATGCTCAAACTATGAACATACTAACAGCCCGAGACATAGTTGATGGTAGTCAAACATCCATCGCCCCAGTGCTTGGAGCCACAGACTCTACAGCCGTTGGCGCGGATATCCTGGTAATCATACCACATCTGGTTGCCGGTACGAGCACAGCCGGACTTGCCCTGGATAAAGACACCACATCCGTAACCGCCAAAGATGTTGGAGCAAGCTCCCGTGTTTGGTCTTCCACTCCTATTCGCAGCAAACAATTAGACTCTCAGTTTCCGAGTAAGCCAGTTGAATGGCGCGATGAAGCCGTGAAGACGAGAAGGTTTGAAACTTACCCCGGGGCGCCATAGTTGACGTCGTTGTTACGGATGAGCTTGTTGTTCACCGCATCATCACAAGCGGCGACTTTGAGAGAAGAGCAGAGGGAGCTTCCCTTGCAGTCGTACGAGTCACGCTTGTCTAAGACGCCTCTGGGGACAGGAGACATGTCCATGGCGAGGTCATGATCGTGGGAATGCTCGCCGGGGATGGCCACGGCAGAGCAGCTGGCCACAAGGGCTGAAAGGAAGAAGAGGCTGAAGCGCATTTTGGGCTTTGAACTCTGGGTCGAACTTGGTATTGAATAAGCTTGATGACGGAGGGGATAGGAAACAACCTCTGCAGAATACAGCGGGCTTTTATAAATTTCTTCTCAATCCTCAATGCTCTAACCTAGTTACGCGAAACTACGCACCTTCAATGTAAACTAGATTGGCTTCCCCCGCTTCGGAGGCGCAACCTCTGCAGGCTAAGCTGCCAAACCGAATAGGATATGAGCTGTCGCAACTTGCTCAAGGCATCTGCACAATCGATTCGGATGACGAACTTTTGTTCCAGCAGCCTACCGGCTGCCGGCAAACCCTCCGAATCCAGCCCATCAGCACTTGAGTCGCTTTTTGGCCCCCGATAACACCTCGGTTAGCACGGACTGCCATCTGTGAACCATTCATCGCCCAGACCTGGCGATCCTTCTGTGAGAAGCTCAGCACAAAAGACAACACCTTGAGAGCCTGCTTTCGTGACCCTGTCGATATGAGGTAACAAGTAGTGCATAAGGTGAGGTGAATAAGCATTATGTAGACTGAATGCACCCTTCATGGCAAACAAGCATCTAGTTGATCGGGCGATTATGCAGAGAGAGTGGGTGGTCACCATGCAGGTCGGTTGCAACCGATTGGATCGGCTCAGCTTGAAAATGCTTAGCTGGAAACCCAACTCGGGCCGTTCCCGTGGTGGATGAGGGCACGATTACCATTCAATGTCTAACTAAGGGATCTGCTTTGAGCTGCTTAGTTCCAGAGTCTCTCCATCAACCTGCAGGCTCGGTAAGCTGCTGCCTGATACCCCGCTCAATTCAAGACGATGGAAGTACAAGGTGGAGGAATCGCCGCGACAATCTTTGTAAGAATGTGACCGCTCAAAAGTAAGGCTCCGCGGCCCAAGGCTTCAATCTCCTTATTAGGAAGAGTTAGTACTTCGGTTCCTTCCTGTAAGAAGACATTTCTTGAGGAGTTGTTTGAAAGCTTCGATTAGAACACGACCATCTTCTTCATGCGTTCTGAGCCCTCCAAAACTAGGAGCCTGGTGATTTTGGTATGAGACTGCATCCTTATTCCTGACCCCCTCTCAAAGAGGGATTCGCATTATAATCTATTGATTGACAAAGAGTTGAGACCGAAACGTCAATGAAAACTCTAGAAAATGCAGTCTCTGGGCTGCGAGTGACGATCTACCCCTCTTTTGTCACAGAAGCTAGTTGCCGTATAAGCGGTTGACGGCAGGTTGATTCTACCTTAGCTCAGACCCACACATTTTCAGTCTGCTGTGCCTTCGGGACTAGTGAGTTCCTTGGAACGGCATGATTGAGACAACCTGAGAGCATAATAAGCGAGAAAGGCAGAACAATCAACAAATAAGCGAGAAAGTGCAACTGTGTCTAAGAAGAGACTAGAGCAATACGAGCTCGTAGCAATGTAACCTTCCTATTGTTTCTTAGTAGACCGGGCATGAACTGTAGACATTCTTCACTCATCAGGTTCATTTGAGCGCAAGGCAAGTATGTTGTCATCCTTATGCCACCATTATTGCTATGATTGGTGGCAGCTATTGAAGGGCAATTTAGGTACTTAGTAGTTACCCAATGTCAACTTTTCGAGAGAGGCGAGCACGCTTCTTGCCTAAGTACTCAGAGAATTTGGAGAGTAGTGCCATTTTATCTGCATCATGCACCGAGCCGAGTTTATGCAGCACAGAAAACCCTCCCAGCCGTGTTGGTGCCCGTCGGCTTGCAGTCACTGTTGCCTTGAGGATTCTTCGACAAAACGGTGACGTCGCGGACGTGGACGTACACCGGGGTCTCGAAAGATTCATTGCACTGCGGAGATATTTCAGTAAGCTATTTTGGGTCTAAAGCCAGCCTGAATACACTTACGCAGTAGGTGTGAAGGCCATTCGCTTCACAGCCCCCGTCACCAGGGGTTCCGCCGTTACAGTTTAGCAAAAATGCATTTGCAGTTGCGGCAAAGAGAAGAGCAATGAGTCTCATGGTGACCAAGTTAGGAAATAAAAAAAGGATTGGTCGATCGAATTTTGCTGATGAGTAAAACTGAATGATCAGGAAAGATTCGCCAGACTTCAATCTAAGAGCGCGGTCACAATTTGTACTCTTGGGCCAACAGCTGCCCGGATACATTTCACCGCTTCGATACGGTAAGCTCGGATAGTCGGCAGTTTGTGAGGGTTTTAGGACTGGTTTGAAATCTTACTCAACGAATATACTCAATGAAGAATATTATGGATACCATACGAAAGCATATTAGATTATATTGCCACAAGATTTCTTAAATTCTCTTGGCTATATAAAAGACAGAACAACTGCGACTAAACGATCCTAAGAACTCAACACGCATGCGCGACAAGTGCCACAGGCCAGGACGTTTCAAGCTATATTGGACAGATTTCCAATGAATCATACGCAGAAACTAGAGGGAACACTTGGCCCGCTGAAGTACCGGAAGTGCAAGTGGCATGGCTAAGGAAGAGCTTTACGCTGGGCGAGCCACGCTATCATGACTTATACTCATGAGCGATTATAGCCTCGAGCTTGCGCCCTTTATTGAGGATAGTTTGCCAGAAGATCCGCTCCAGAGAAAGCAATCTCCCCGTTCTAGCGTAACTCGAGAGAAGTTACGACTTTTGAACTTAATCCGTAGTTCATATGCGTTACCACTCGCACATCCCGGCCGGCTCCGCTGAACGCGAAAGCGAGCCCTGATCCGCTCACCCTAGTTATATCTCTTAGCAATCGGAAGATGCCGTGGAACTGCTGTACGTCTATAATCACAACGGTATAAATTCAGTTTGGGGGTTGACTATTCAGGCAAATTCACCTCTTTCTGGCACTTTCAATTTTGGTAACATGTAAACCGATCTGCACGTGGTGGCAAGACACACCAATTCGTACGGGATTTGAACTCAGGTTTCTTTGCGCCAAGGCCACTACCCTCAATTAACCTGACACAGCCATTGAAGGCATTTACCTACGCTCAAAAATCCCTCGAGTACAGACAGACTTAGACATTGCTGTAATGTAGTTCAATGTCCTTCTGATGTAATCAGCGTTGCCGAATCAAAGCATGTTGAAATTATTGCTGGCCGCCGCCTAGAACAGACGAGAGCCTCGGAGAATTTTTCCTTGGGATGTAGCAATTAGTAGGATTGTCAGCTGGCGATTTGATCTGGATGGTGTGTCCAGAATAGGGCGAGCTGCGTCGAAGGATGCACTTCTTGGCCGATTGGTCAGGCTGGACAGTCCGCCATTGGTCGGGGATTTTGGACGTCGTCGATCTCCCGACACAGCTGACAATCAATCATCTCCTGACTGCAACCATTGGCTGTATTCTGAATCCGGATCAGGCAACACTGGATCGACTAGATTCTGCCTTGAAGGTTGCCACATTCCTCCTATTAGGCGGTGGGCTGACTGGCGCTGCAACGATGGAGGCTGCTTACCTCCAGGCCCCGAGGCCCGAATTGATGCAGAGCGTGCACATTTATCTTTGCTTTAAAACCTCGTTCTTCTTCGTTTCACATCATACTAGACCTCTGAGAAACTTCTCAGTTGTGATACTGAGTCAACCGTGATTCAAAATGTTTGACGGCACGAAAGGGTGTTCTTCCATTGACTATGCGGGCTCGCTCGTGACGGTCTGTAGTACCGACAGCTACCAATCCATCTGCGTGGATGATAACAACGGAAACGTCAAATGCAACATGACGCTTGGCAGCGCATTTTCCGTCGATGGGGATCTTCCTCATTTCTTCTTATCCTACGGTACCATTGCATGGATCAGTAACGTTATCGGATGCTACATTTGGTTCTGCATTATGTCCGGCAATGCGCCCATCAATCCAACCCGAAAGATCAAGCACAAGACGCTCGTCTGCCTGGGAGGCTTCGCATACGCTATATTTCTGGTAGCAGTTGCCGCCATCAAAGTTCCCAAGATGAAGGACCGAAACCTCAAGCTCATTGCCATCGGACACGTCGTTGCTACAGTCATCATACAGGGGGCTATTCTTTGTATGATGAAGAGCAATGCCATGGACGATACGGAGAAGACGAAGAACAAGGGCGAAGATCAAATTGTCAAAGAGAAACTCGACACAGATGTGCCGACCAACGGCAAGGACAGTGTTTCCCCTCGTCCCTCGAGAGAGTCCACACGATCGAATACCTCAACGAGTACAGCGGTCTCAACGTCAGAAAAGACTGGGTTCCTGAAAAGTTTCACCAGAAAAATCCCAGGAGTACAGACGACTGAAGAAGTATCTGAAGCTGAGACCACTGGTACAGAAACTCCAAAGAAGGAGGAGACAGTAGCAGAGGGACTTGCGAGTATGATGACGGGCCTGTCATTCCTGTCTCCCGGCCACTTGATGATGTTATGGGGCGCAATACGCCTTGCGAAGTGCATCTTCGTAGACAGAGAGAACAACGACACCAGACAACAGCGCGAAACCAGAGACAGTCTCATTCTCTTTGGTTTCGTATACGGGTTGGTTCTCGTCATCAACATTGTCTGCATCCTCAACTATTTTTCTCAAGGTGCCGCGAAGTCTCAGGACGAAGAGAGCGTCAACAACGAGGAAAAAGAGAAGAGACGCGCCGCAGAAGCAAAGAAAGTGAGGGAAACAGCATTATTTGCTGTAGGAATACTGGCTGGGCTCGTTACTGACTGGTGTCGATTTTTTGTGCTTGCTGCGGCGGCCAAGGATACTCATGGGCTTATGCATCTTGGGGATCTCTCGAATCTCAGCTTGGTAGCTTTGATTCTATCCAAGTTGTTCGTGCTGGCATGCTAGCAAAAGTCCTCTAAACAGCACTTCAGTACATTCACTACGGGAACAAGAGGCGGCAGGGGTTAGCAAGATAGGTAAGCCAGGATTAATTCGAAGGCTAGGTGGCCTGGCAATTGTTGACTTATAGTTTGATACACACACCAAGCAGTGTAATCATAGGATAAAAGAAGATTTGAAGCGAGAAATTAATATGTCTTGACGATAGTCGTCGAAATTTACCTTAGACAAGGTATTTCTCCTGGCCGAGGCTGGCTGGTACATTTCAGAGTCTAGTTTACATGCCGAGATGAAGGGCGGTGCAGGGCAAAATATTCCACTTTTTTTGTGGCGATGCCTTCTTGGCTGCATAGCTGCCTGTTCGTTGGAGTGACTATGGCCTGACAATCGCTAGGTACAGGCATTGGATGATAGGCAGACAGTCAGCCTTGTCGTTTGACTACGGTATAAGGCGAACCAACATATCATAACTTGGAAGAACCGGAATGGCTCTGAGGGTGTATTTACCTCTGACGCTTGAATCTCAGGAGCAATAAACAACTTCTTCGAAATCAAAAACGTCTGTTCAATTGCTTGACTTTGCGCATCTAACGCCAGTGCAATCTACGAAAACTCCTTTCTAATTTTCGACATGGCAAACTTCACAACAGACAACGCAACTGCAGAAGTTTCAGACCTAATTAGGTTTGAGAGAAGCCTACAGCATTATTATCTACCCTATGGCTACATCGCGTTCGTCAATACGACAGTAGACCTATACATATGTTGCATGCTCCTCGCCAAGAAGCCCCCTCTCAATCCAGCTGGAAAGCTGCGATGGAAAAAGATTATTTGCGCTTACTTCGCAATCACTTGGGTAGTAACTCCATTTATCATGGTGTTTATACAATCACCTCGTACTGATTCAAGAGCCATGCGGGATATGATGAAGGGAAGCACAATGACCGTCGCAACCAATCATTGGATGATCTTGGTGGCACTCTTAATTGTCATGTTTTCCAAAGAGAAGGATCATAAAACTGAGGAAGGACGCGACAACGAAGTCGTGAGGACCGAAGAAATTCAATGCGGTCCTGAGACTCTCTGTCGATTGTCAATGAATCTGGAACCTTCAACATCCACTGATGAAGTAACGGAAGCGATCTCCAGCCTTGGAAATCACACCGAGAAAGAAAGCCTCCTCGCCGAGTTTAGCAGAAACTCATCCTCTACGCGGCTTCAACAGATCGAAGACACCGTAGAAGAAGTAGCAAGCGTATCACCACAAAATGAATCAACAGCCGATACACTGATATCCATCCTGGATCAAAATACTCAGATATCATTATCGATATGTCTACTTAGTTTCCTGCCTGGATATTGCCTGATGTTCCTTCCCATCTGCGAACTTCTATACGCCATTCTGAAACACGAAACAGCCGATGATGAGTTGCAGCGACACACGAAGGAGATTTTGATCTTTCATGGTATCTTGTTGATCGTCTTCTTTGGCATTTGCATCATTGTCATTAACAGAACACGTTCACTAGGGAAAACAGGTCATACTGAGATCGAAAATCTGGAAGAAAAGAGGAAGAAAAGGCGCGTACTTTTGAAACTTGAATGGAAGCTGGGAACAGTAGCATTCTACCTGCTGGTGGGAATATCAAGTGTCTGGATGCAATATCTTCTTATTGCAACAATAGCACGAGATCCGACTGGCATATCGCACTTGCTTCAGTTCGAGAATCTCAGCTTGACGTATGCTCTTTTACCAAAGCTCCTTCTATTTGCGTTTTGAGTCAGCTTATGACTGCTGACGTACTGAAGTCTTGGCTGCGTCACATGTACACATAGCAAAATTGAAATGTATATATTCTGTCTGCCGAACATTCCGCAGCGGTGAATCAGTCCTTCTTCTATCCAGATATTGATAATGAATAGTAATCTCGTCCGTGTCGCAATTGGAGACTGTGAAACACGCCTGAAAAGAATAACCCCATCGCTTAATCCACGCCTTGTCGTTAAATCCCCGTCATTATTGTGCACCGACTTACTCTCTATCAAAGGCATCGTCCTCCTCGATCTGCAATAGATGAGCCAGCACCCAGCCCTGATCATTTGCATATGGATCCTTGTAGTTCCCAGCGCGGCCGTTGACGGAGTTCGGATAAATGCACGCAGACAAAGCGCGCCCATTCGCCTCAAATAAAGCAAGATTGTTTCGGATGATACTGTTGGCCGACTTCAAGGCCGCGGCCGCATCATCTCGGGTGTCGTTCTTTAAGCCCCTGCCATAGTGATGCAGCGCGATGCCGTTCAGCGTAATCCAATAGTGAGGGAACGTGTCGCACCACATACGATCCATACCGAACCGGTAGCCGTCCCAGTGGCGGATCGCGACGTCGTGGAGGCGATAGTCGGGCTGTTTGCCCGCAAAGAGAGGAGGAGAGTATCAAGTTGTAGCTTGCCGGCATTCCGCCACTTGCCATTGCCTGTGTAGCGCCAGAGCTCATGGAGCACTACAGCGGCGAAGACGATGATGGATTGTTCAAAGTTGACCTCGAACGACGGGTAGTCGAGTCCTCGCTTTGCGATATTCTCTCCATGGGCGAGAAACAACTCCTTAGCTTTCTTTAGCCATTCTTCGTTCTCGTGCTTTTCGAGCGCTTGCAAGCTTTCTAGAATGGGGAGGTCAATGGCGTACAACGCGCCGCCACCTTCAGCGTAAAAGCTTTCCAGGGTGAGCATAAAGCGCTCAAGGGGTGCCTTCTCCGCTACTGTTTCGGTCAAATTAAGGTCGAGAGCAGCAACTGTGATGTGGAACTGGAGAACCCACGACCAGTTATACAGGCGCTTCTTGCTGCCATCATTTCCAATTGGCCTATCACGGACAAATCCATTCTCCTCCTGTAGCTTGGTCGACACACGAGTGTAGTACTTCTCTAGAGACCGTCGCAATTCAGAGTTCTCCGGGTCCTTCTTCAGCCAGCGTGCAATGAGGATGCCCATTCCCACACGTTCGTGGCCGGGGTTTCGGTCTGTCGATGTATCCCACGTCGCGAGAGCGTTAGCTTGGTTATCGAAGACGCGATAGGCTCCCTCTGCTGGTGTGTCGGGTGTAAGATCTTGCTGATTCTCGATGATGAATTTAGTGCGGCTGACAATCAAGTCATCGTATTTTGGGACGACATTTAAGAAGACTGTGGAATTGTAGCCATTCTCCGTGGTGACCACAAGATTCGTCCGGCCTGGACGCCTAGCGGTGAAGTTGTACTAGCATTTATCGTCGTCACATTGCACTGCCTGGCCACTGATTTTCGTGTTGGCGTTGACGGAAGTACCAGTGAGAGAGATGGAGTCTGTCTCTTTGGTGATGGTTGTGTAGTTGTCTGCTTTGACCCACACGAACTGCTCGGAGTACACGGCACTTTGCTTGAAGAATTCGTCCCAATCGCTATGCCAGCACCACGTCCAGACGATCGCACTCGATGCGCCTGGTTCCAGAGTGGGAATGGAAGGATGAAGTAGGGAGACGCCACGCGTGTTAGATAGCGTGACTGGATCGCGCACCTCGATACTGTAACCCACCAAGGCGCCCTGGGTCAAGACAAATCCGAGATTCCGATACTTCCCGCTCATCTGGTTCAACTTAACCTAGGAAGAAGTTCCCCCGAACGCCCAGATATGAGTATGTGAGCGCGCCTCGACGCAATCACTCGTGTTTGTATAATGATCGTTGAGAGGGGTGTAGCTGGCCAAGGACGTTGTTCCTTGGCTGTTCAGTTTGAGAGGTGTGGCGCCTTTGTTTGTGAAAGTATAGGACTCAGTGAAAGATTGATTTGCGTGATTGATGCTTCGGCTGACGAAACGCTCCAATGGACCGGCGTTATAGACTGCGTCAATGGTGTTGTCGTGCTTCGTGATTCGAGGGAAGTTCCAGAAATTGCGTGAAGAGAACCCTGGCCTAAGTCTGCGTAGCCTAGACCCCAGCGACTTCCGGTCGGGAGCCAGGGCGCGTTAGAACCGGTACTAACCCACTCCATGACATCTCCGGAGCGTGGATCGGTGATTTTATCAATGGCGCCGGTCTTGTCGTTGATGCTTATGCGAAAATCATGGTTGTCAAGGTCAATGGCCGCGGCGACGACGCTGAGACAAAGGAGGAGAGCAACTTCCATCTTATCAGTCAGCTAAATCTAAATACAGTATATCCTTACTAGTAGATTATAGAGCTTCTACTCATCATTATTCGTTATTGCTCTTCTATTTTGTATGCGTTCTAGCATCTGCCAATAACGCCTTCGCGCTGCGTTCGACCGAGGCGCATGGTATCATGGTACGAGCAGCTAGATCAAAACAGGGTCGAGCAGCTATCGTGCAGAGGAATGAATCAGAAGCTTGCGATGAGCGTGTAGTTGAGGGAACCGAAAGGGCGATTGGTGCGGAAACATCCGCATCTGCTATCGGACAAGCCCAGGGCATTGCGGTGCAGAGCTCTAAACAGGCAGCAATCCGATTAAAAGATGGCTGGTCTTCGGCAAGAACATGATATTGGGAAAATCTGCAGGTAGGATCCAAGTATCATGTGTCTTGTCACCTGCGAGGATCATCCGTTACGTGGGTGAATGTGTATTCGGTATTCGCCTTATCTCACCGCGAGATCCCGCTTTACTTCATTTTGCCGTGAGATCTACTCCGAAGCCCGGTACTTCGCCCTCAAGAACCCCTTAGCAAGTATCAGAACAACAATGATCATAGCTTGCACGAGCTGAGCCCGGCAACCAGTACCGATTGAGAAAGCTATAAGCACTTGATTATATACGTGGCCAATTTCTGGGACCGTGGCAGAGACAAAGGCAAGTTAAGAGATCAAGCAGTGCCAGAAGCCCTTGTGAAGACTCCGTCCTCAATAGCATTGCTTCAATTCCCTATGAAGAAACGTCCCCGCTGACGAAAACAACCTGAACGGCAGCATATCTGTGCACCGCTAGTCAGTTTGAATGAAGGATTTCAACTAAAACTCCAACTACTCACGCGGCAGTGGTGGCGATAATTTCGGCGTTGCGCGCATCAGTGAGTACCGAGAGTGCGAAAGAACACAGAGCTGAAAATCCGACAATCGTGGTGGTGGCTCCAAGACGCCATGTACATGTCTTCCACACTGCGCGATGCTGTAAGAAGAATCCAAAGCCCGTTCAGCTCGACCGCCATCGATGCACTCCAGACTCTGGGCGACTAAGTCGTCAAATGGTACTCCCCAGACGGGCTGGGAGCCGCTGTTACCATATACAGTCGAATTCTCATCCAGATTGACAACCAGCCATCCTACCTGCAAGATGAAAGGAGACCGCATATTGTCAAAGAACTGGCGAAACTATACGTCGATCCGACACTATCGCGCGAGAGATCTGCAGGTCAACACTCTATCATCTTACAAGGCCTCTCCGAAGTAAGAAAGGGCGATTACTACGATGTGGTCCAGTTCTACCAGAATCTAGGGGCATGGTATCTGCATGAAGATGGCAAGAGTGTGGAGTTACAAAGTCGAGTGAACTTAGGCGAAGAAATTCTTCGACGCACGCATGAGATACAAACACAGCTCTTTGGCGAGGATAACTATCGCTCGGTAAAGACTGCGGACATTCTCTCAAAGCACTACATTCGGATAGGTAGAGAGGTGGAAGCTGCATTTCTGCTCGAAACTATTCTCCGTTCTCGAAAGGCCTCGAAGAAACCCCTGACTGATGCTTCGGTTGGCACTGGAGACAAATGCGAGAATGTTGACGACGATGAAGAGGAAGGTGGCGAATTCGAAGGAGCTGGTGACGAGAGAAAACGCCAGGCGCTCAAAGAGTGGAAAGATTCTCTCGATTGGTCAAAGTATACGAACAGCTTCCATGCTAAATTACGTTCTTTGGTCGCACCGCCTTCTTTCGCTTGGAAGGATAGCCAACTTTATCTCTGCGACATTGACAACATTCATTGGCAGAAAGTGGTACTGACAGAAACGCTCGAAAACTACCCCATCTGCATGGTTGTAAGAAACTGCAAAGTTAAACTTCGGGTACCAATAGCAACCATTCTTGAAAATGGAGAAGAAAGCGCTCAAGTAGCTGCGCTGATCAAATCAGTGGAAGAATCGCACTTCTGCAAGTTACTCAAGTCAGGCGCTGCGGCTACAGACCACGAACTAGCTCATAACAACGCAAGCGATTTGCCCGGTACTTATGCAAGTAGTTATCTGCAAAGATTGGGATCGAGATCGAGAGTTGTACCTCAGGGCACGAAGCCAGATCTAACCTCGCCGGATGTCGAGAACAGGCTCTGGGTGTTTCCACGAGAACTGGTGGCATCAGAATGGCAAACCTCTCAGGTAGGAGATTATTCATCCTGTGTCATCGCATACTGCAATAGTTGACCTTCTGACAGCATCATGAGGGCTTGGGCCAGAGGACTCCGGATCACACTCATGTTCAATCAGTCTACGAATATGTGAAGCTGCCTGGCCCTGAGGAATGGGTAGTTATCGTGACATGCTTAGCAGAGACAGAGAGATTCAAGGGTTTCAAACAGCAAGAACAGTTGCAGTATCTTGGTCCAGCGACGACGGGCAGCGTTCCTCGTATCAATAACCTTGCTCATACGTGGCTGTTACGGAACGACCTGGAATACACAATTCAACAAAAGCTCAACGAGCGTTCCCCTATCAATCTCGCCTGCCCGTATATCTGTTATACGGAAGTACGCAAGCTACGAGGTTTCGGCTGGGGATTCAAGTATGCCGACTTTATGCAGCAGCTGCCTCTCTCCGTCCAGCATTCACGGCAAAGAGAGGCTATTATAGGCTTTAAAGCAGCACTTTGCAGGAACCCAAACATGTACTCAGCAATGCCGAAGCTCACGAAAATTGTAGATCAAAATGTCTGCAACCACGTCTCAGGCGGCACGAACGACTCAGAATTGAATGTTTCCGGGAAGCATCACGAATCAGATGGATTCTTCAATCACATTCCTGGGCTATCTCTTCTAATACATCCCGGAGATAGATGGCATGGGTTTAATCTTGTTTCGTCCACATGGGCGGATTGGGAGGCTTTCGTAGTCAACGATGACTTCCCGGAAAACGGTTATCCTAAGCTAACATCTCCGGACGGCGAGCCCATGAACTGCCGTGGGATAATCCGTGGGAGATGGATGCCGAGCAACCTCGTGGGGTACCATCTGGTAGAGGAAGTATATGTTGTCGATGCGGTGTTCAATAGCAGCCAGGATCTTAACACGCAGTGGGACTTCATCTTTTCCACCTGCACCCTTGATGACACATCAAAGACCCCAAGTACGTCCTACTTCTCGGTAATTACTGAATGGCCGTAGAATTTGCTAAGAAGTGTGTGTATAGTGAGCGCAGCAGAGAAACGTTTCTTGGTGGGGAGTCTGAATCCATCGTTCTTCGACTACATCGATCCATACAGCTCTCGCCCCGTAGGAAGTTCGTGGTTCAAAAGAGACAAAACCTCTGCACGTAGGTTTTAGTCATTTCTTTCTCTATCTCCAATAATTGATTAAGAACCCATTTCTAATCCATGGCCTTTGTAGGAACAGCGAAGGAACTTACATTCGAGGAAAAGTTAATGTTGAAAGCGGTGGAGAAGAAAAAGGAGTTCGATCAGTTGAAGGAACAGAAAAAGCAGTGGAAAGATGACTCCCAAAAGATGGCGGAACTCGAAAGAGAGTTTCGTATTTGTGAAGAGAAATGGGAGCAATTTGACAAAGACCTAGCTTCGACGAAGAACCAACTTGAAAGTATGTCCATATAGGAACATATTGCCACAATCCATAGTTACTGGCCAACGTTGTTGAAGAGAACAAGCTCTGAGAGAGACTATGATCTACCAATAAGACAGCCCGGCCTGTCCATCAATTTAGTAAAATTGTCTTCCCATCAAATAATACTCAAAATGGTGCTCTTAAGATCTGTGTAGCGACACTAGATAGCCTCTTGGGTCAAGCCGTAGTGGGTTGAAAGAGAAAGAGACACGGTTGGAATTCGTACTCAGAATGCAAGTCACCCCTTCTTCTCACTTTGTGAACTGTCTGTCTGCGAAGTTGCGGTCTGTTCTCGCTTGATCTGTTCGCAAAGCTTTGCGTTTCTTACCGCCAGATCTTGTCTGAGACCCGATGTTAAGCCTGACCATGACCATTCCCGCTATCCCGTTTTCAATGTTTATAGTTGTATGGCAGAGACAGACGTACAATGCCAAGATCTTCTGAGTTACCAAAATTCAGCATTGAATGCTTCCGTGGCAGAACCGTAAAGCAAGAGGCAGGGACAATTAGGGCCCTTGTAAGTGACTATCCAGCACTGAAAGATGACAAACACTTTTGCTCAATTATAGAAGCCTGTGCCGTGGCGGAGACTATGAGTCGCATTCTCATTAGATATCTAGTACGGAAAGACTACGTGCACTCGCATTGGTTACTGGGAGATGAACCCCTGTGAAGTTGCTCCTGATGCAGTATTCTTTCGGGCCCTGTAGTTGATGACATGAGGCTCGCAAGTTGTAACTGCCCACTCAGTTGACTGTGTTGGTAGGGAGACTCAAGGTTGACCATGCCAAGTCGCAGAGCGAGAGTCTCGGTGCTACGCTGACGGTGGTCCGTGCCTCAGCTCATGTTGGACAAACACAAACTTCACCCACGTGAGTTCCTCGGACCCTGGCCATCATGTCGGTCCAACACTGGGCTAACGCCGTATCCGTACCTGAGCATTATCTCGGACAGGAGTCACAAATACGGCACGAAGAAATAAGCCGACTAAAGACGCGGCCAGGCGCCGCTCTACTACTACGTTGATTTTTTTCCTTGGCTGCGCGCGGCGTAGTGCCCGCCCGCCAAGCATCATGTGTTGGTGTAGTGTAATCGCTTTGGAAGTTGGAGCTCGTGGCCGGTGGGCCCATTTGGTGCATTGCAATACATTGTGATGTTGGACCAACCTGGCTTTCACCTTCCTTTACGAGCAATGTTGGTGGGGTAGGTAACCGTAGATTCTATATAGAGTTATGGCTCTTTTCGGCTTGTCCACTCTCGGGCAACGGTTTATGAGTTCTGTCACGGCTGACTGTGTGACGTGACGGCTGCCTTCCGGTCATCTTGCTGCCACATGGCAGCTATCATCTTTGCTTGGCCGGTGGGCTGGTTCTTCTCGTCCGCCCTGTTGTTTTTTCTCGACCTGTGACATGAATCAAGACGACCAGGGGCGATTCTGGCCGCCCTGCACATACTTGCAGTTGCTGCAAGCCAGCAAGCCAGTGGCGAGGCCTCGCGCGAGCTGCAGCTGCTTGCTGTGCCTCCGCTCCATTCTTTTTATCTAACCCACCAAGGAGGGTTGTATCCGTACCTCCCCTCCTTCCCTTTATTTACTTCCACTTTCGAGAGTGCACACTCCTGTGAAGCCACCAGAGCTGCACATATCAATCGATAGCAGAATTCTTGGATCTCCCGACAGCACCATGGCCGAACCCCGTGATTCGACCGAGACGTCTCTGCCACCCTACGACGCGGTCTCGCAGCCGTATCAGGAGGTGTGCCCCCCAACGACTCTTGTCATAGTAGGCCAGTCGATTCACGCTCTGACAGCAGATTCGCCGCCCCTGTATCATCTCAGTCTTGGTATCTCAAGCCGTTCGGATATCACCACGGAGGTAGAGCTCTCGCGCGTTGAGCCGAGGCAAGATGGCTCGGGACTCCAACGCCATATATATGACTTGCGATATATGCGCTCGGGACCCGGTGGCTACGTGAAGCTGCCGTCCGACTCACCTCACTACTTTATCGAGCGTGCAAGCCGTCGCATCCCGGGCCTTCAGAACCTGGGCCTCAAGAAGAGCCGCTTGCCAGGAAAGGCATGTACGACTGTTCTGCCCGTTGATATAAGAGGCAAGACCAGCAAGTACAGCATACCCAACTTTGTCAAGGATAGCGCCCCAATGTTTAGTATCAATAAGAATAGGTGGGCCGATGCGCAAGGGGCTCTGATTGCCTCCATGCATGATACCACGGAGCGCAGCCTGGTCGTCACGGCGACCCTGCCGCGCGCCCAGTTTGACATGCTCGTAGCACCGTGGTGCTGTAAGGTATGGGAATCTGGAGTCGCTAATGCCGAAAAGGTGCACGAGGGAATCGACGGAGGTGAGTAATTCAGTTAGATATGTACATTGTAACAAGCCGTTTGGTCGCTGACTTTTCATCCGTGTGTTTAGTGAAGAGAAAGATGAGGCTAGCAAGAGAGTTTGGCATGAGTCCCTCAACCAGTAAGTTGCCATCTCTCGTATCTGCACCGGTCAGGATCAGTCGATTAACATAGTGTTCAGTGGGACCCGGAGGTGCGTCTGGGGCGTTTTGAGCTGGCGGGCACGGAGTTCTGGAGCCGAGCATGTCTGCCGTCTCCCCGCTGCCACCACCGACGAAGGCTGGGTCGATCCGGCCTTGCAGACGAACTGGATGCGCCTTAGCATCGGGGCAGGAACGTTCGAGGGCGAGCGTCGCGATATCCTCGCAATGCTGACGGAGCTGCTGGCGTCTATGAATTCATCAGCACCATTCTCAACAGGACTTTACCATAGTTCCGACGGCAAAGGTAAGCCAAGCTATAATAGATCGTGCCAGCTATAGATAGGCTTCTCAACTCTTATGAAAATACGATGCGTTATACCAACATATCCATGTACTACGGGCTACATAACCTAATTCTGTTAATATAAGAATAGAAACGTATTTAAATTCGAGATAGTATAATAAAATGACTAGTAAGTCTTTTTCCAGCTTTGTTTGAAGCTTATGCCGGGGAAACGAGGACGGGCAAAGTCATAAAGAAGACGCTGATGTCGACCACCGCGCTGCGCTACATTGTTTGCCGATGACGAGAGATTTAGAAACTCTGATGCTGTTATATTGCCAAAACTGGGCGATCAATTTAGGCACCAGGTAGAGCTCATGCTGTCAGAACGTATCTCATGCTCCATCCAAACTTGCTGATGGAAACATGCCATATCCTCATCCTCTACTGGAAAACGCCAAAATAAACTCATATACGGATCATCCATAGTCGACATTCAATGCCGCACATCAAATTTGAAATGAGCTCGACTAAGTGCCAGTATGAGCATAGTCAGTATCATGTAATTAAAATATGACCACGAAGCTTGACATAGTCGGCATGTGACTACGTGCTTCATGAGCCACGACTCGATGCATCTGGAGAAGGATATGTGATCACATAGGAGCTAGACTATCATAGTCAAGCAGAAAGGTGTTCTAGACACACCGAGCACATTGTCGCCGTAGCAAGACGGGCGGCTGCATTGAGCTTGCTGCAAGCGATCCTTGCCAATGACGGTTTGGTTGGCGAAGGAAGTGTGCCGGAAAGTGTCCATGGTATCAAAATTGGATGCCTGTTTTGGTTTTTAGGCGTTGTTTGTGGGGTTGATTTTGGCAGAAATGGTCGGCGACGGGTGCTCACTTCCCTCTAGACAAACGTGTAATTAGAAACCAAGGCCGATTAGCAACGCAAAAGCAACTCAGAGGGCTATCACAACGGCCCCAAGTTGGTCAGAGGGCTCACATATGCGTGATTACTGGCCTAAGACTACTTTAATAGTGGCCCTAGGACTCATGTAGAGAATGATATGAGAAGCGTGACGGAGAAGGAGGGGAACATGAGGTGAGGTGCTACGCCAGGGTTCTCCTGTCAAAGCCTGGATTCCTGGCCATAGTTTAGAGCTCAATGACCAGAACACAAAACTTTCCCATGGATCAGTATCACCGGGCACATTCACCGACTTGTTCGCATGTGAGGTTTCGGCTGAGGGATTAACAATCATGATGCTCGGTTTGCCATATTCGGTTGACCACCAGACGTCAAATTTCTTGGCAAGCGATTGGTATGGCGTTGCTCTTGCTTGGAAGCTTTGCGCCCGTTTCCCATGGGGAAGTTGAAGCTTGTAGGTGATTTTAACGTAATAGATGTCCTTCGCGTCCGAAAGGGAGAAGGGGCGTGTCTCTCCTTTTGTATGAGGCATTTTCTCTTGGCATTCTCACCCATATCTTTAGGGCCCGTGTTAGTGATGTCCGGGAGGCAGCTTGTCCTAAGCGCGATTTGAAGCGTCTCTGATATAGAAATTCGAATTGAAATCTTGGTCCATCGGTACAACAAACATTGTTGCATTGCATTCTATCTGCATCGCTTGTGTTCACCTCTACGTGCGTTGTCTTTCTCATCACACGACGTTGAGCTGTTGTGATACCTATTCCTCATCTTTGCGATGGAAGACCCCAAGAAATCGGCAGAGAATATCCGCCCTGGCGATAGTCAAAATGCTCATATATCCTTTCGCGGAGACTAGGAGATGAGGGACGAGATTCGTGGCCGGCCGGTCATTAACAACAAGAGCGCCAGTCGTCCCCGATCAGCACGCTCAGCTGCAAGCTCCATGTCGAGGCGCCGTCGACAGAGCACTTCGGAAAACTTCGGTATTCAAATCGGTTATCGAACTCTTTCAATTCATGTCTCAGAGTCCCAGCATGCTGCTGCGAATGCAGAAACTGACCTCAAGGCGGCTAAGGAAGGTGACGATGAGTACTTTGCTGAGCTCAATTTTCACACCCTTCCTGGTGTCCAGATCTGCAGCAATTGGGTGTTTCCACAGACCAAGGACTTTCCGAAAAAGAAGCATCTGATCGCCTTCAGAAGAATAGACCCACCACCCTTCCAGGGCCACAAGCCAAGTACCTCAAAAAACTCTTCGTCTACGTTTTTGGTGGCTTCTGTTCTGTCCTTTGGATCGGAGCTATCATTCTCTTCATCTGTTGGAAGCCCTTGAGCGATCCTCCTTCCGCCCATAATCTTGCAATGGCTGTCTTGATTCTCATCGTCATCTTTCTCCAGGACGGCTTCTCCGCCTTTCAAGACTGGTCCACGCAGAAGACGATGAAGTCCATCACCAACCTCCTTCCCTCGGAGACTCTCATCATGCGCAATGGTGATGTCAAACGAGTGACAGCATCTGAGCTTGTGGAAGGTGACATAGTTCACCTGCGTACAGGCAGCAAGGTCTTGGCCGATCTTCGACTTCTTTCCCACTCCGGCGATATCCGTTTCGACCGAGGCGTACTTACTGGCGAATCCGACGAGTTTGAAGGCGCCATCGACTCGACCGATCCGAACTTTCTCGAGAGTCGTAATATTGCGTTGATGGGTAAAATTGTTGTAAGCGGCCACGATGTCGGCATCATCATCTTGACTGGTGCTCAGTCGGTCATGGGAAGAGTTGCAAGGGCTGCAACAGATGTCGGAGAGAAGGCCACACTGATCCAGAGAGAGATATGGAGATTTGTTCGGATCATCGTCGTTCTCACTGTGCTCCTGGCACTCTCGATCTTTGTGGCCTGGATCGCTTGGCTGAAGCGGGATCACCCTTCCTACATGAACGTGGTACAGATGCTGAACAATGTGATGGGCTGTGTCGTCGCTTTCATCCCCGAAGGCATGCCGGTGGCTGTTACCCTGACCCTCATGATGGTCGCCCGGGTTGAAATCTTGCCCAAGGGTCTTTCTACTGTTGAAACCTTGGGCTGTGTCAACGTCATCTGCTCTGACAAGACCGGAACGTTGACATAGAACCAGATGACTGTCAACTCTGTGGCGTTTGTGGACAAGCCTCTCAATTCACCCGACGATGTGCACAAAGGTCTCAACGAGGAAAAGCCTGACGCGGTTCTTTCTATACCTCAGAAGGCGGCTCTTATCTGCAACGATGCTTCATTGAAGCGGATACTATGAATCTACCTCCCCAAGAGAGAATAGCCGAGGGCAACGCGACCGACGTGACCGTTCTCAGATTCGCCGCTTCAGCCCCAGACAGTGATGCGATAATGTCAAATTCGGCACGAGTGTTCTCTATTCCATTTAACTCGAAGAACAAGTGGATGCTCACACTGGTTCACGAAGACACAGTGAAGAAGAGCAGCCGGTTCCGTATATTTGTCAAGGGTGCACCTGATGTTCTCTTGCCCGCCTGTGCTAGCTTCTGGTCGGGGAAAACGCAGTCCATCGAGGCTCTTGACGCCAATGCCAAGATGTTGTTCAAGGATATTCAGGACAAACTGTCACGCAATGCCGAGAGAGTTGTCGTCATCTGCGAGAAAACACTGGAAACTGTTCATTCTCCTGGAACCAATGACTTTAGCGACGAGGTTGCAATGAAGGCTTTGGAGAATCTCACCGTCGTGGGTATTATAGGCATTCTTGACCCTCCCCGACCGGAGGCTGCCCGGACTGTCGCCAACTGTCGGCGTGCTGGTGCGAGATTCTTCATGGTTACTGGTGATTACGGCGTCACTGCCGCCGCCATAGCTCACAAAATTGGCATTTTTACAATATCGGAGCCCGACACTTTCGACACCATCAGGAGAGGCATGACACCCACAGCTGAAGAGCTTCGACGTGAGCGCCTTGTCGGCAACGGTCGCAGTCTTCTTCTCGAGGGAACATCTATCGCTCGGCTCCTGGCTCAAGACAGGGACGTTGTGTGCGAGTACGAAGAGATGGTGTTCTCATGCACGACTCCTGAACAGAAGTTACGCATCGTGAATGAGTTGCGCGACCGCGACAACGTGGTTGCGATGACTGGACACGGTGTCAATGATGCTCCAGCGCTTCGAGCCGCTGACGTTGGAGTATCTGTCGTCACAGGCAGCGACGTCGCGATCGAGGCAGCAGATCTTGTCCTTATGGACCAATTTGACTCTATCGTCGAAGCCGTTGGTCTCGGACGTTTTGTCTTTCAGAACCTGCAAAACGTCATTGCTTATCTCCTCCCTGCGGGGAGCTGGTCCGAGATTTGGCCAGTCCTTGTCAATGTCTTCTTTGGTGTTCCTCTACCATTTAGCGTCCTTCTCATGATCGTTATCTGTGTTTTTACCGACTTGTTCCTTTCTCTATCGCTTATCATGGAGAAGCAAGAAATTGATTTGCTTTCTCTACCTCCTCGGAATGCAAAGCAAGATCACCTTATAGCCTCAAAATCTACGCGCCAGCATGTCTATCCACCGGGTTCATGGAGACAGTCTGCGCGCATTCGATGTTCTTTTTCTACATGTGGAAATACGCTGGCTTCCCGATCCATGAGCTTTTCTTCTTATTTGAGGGCTATGCCGAGGGTTACCATGGATACACGCTCGATGAGCTCACCGACTTCAACGCAACCGGTCAATGCGTCTACTTCGTCACGTTGGTGTTCCTTCAGTGGGGCAACATCCTCGCGGTTCACAATCGCAGACTCAGTATTGCTCTGGTAGACCCGATCACTAAGAAGAGACGAAACCCATGGCTTATCGCGAGCGCCATCACTAGTCTCGCTATTGCAGTCTTCGTCACCGAAGTTCCTGGGATCCAGAAGCTTTTCGGTACAGCGTCAGTTCCAATTGAGTTCTGGCTTCTTCCCATATCTTTGGCGCTGGGCATCTTGTTCGCAGATGAGATTTGAAAGTTGCTTTTGAGGCTTTTCCCGTAAGGCCCGATTGCTAAAGTTGCGTGGTGAGCATGGCATTGGTATGTGACAGAAGCGAATCGGATCATGAAGGATGTTAGAGAACATAATCTATCTAGCGTTAGTGCCTAACACTTCCAAATTATTCACTGTTGTAGAGAGTTTGAGTCGGATAACACAAAATCCATCCCCATTGATTTCATAACTCCTGAGCACCTTTGTGCACGTGACATTCCAAATTGCAAAACCTCCGTCTAGTAATTTGTTATTACTACAACCAGCAAAGTCGAATGGGCCTTGCCAAGTCAAGGTGTTGGCGCGCGCCTAGAAGGGTCGCCAGGGTCGGAGTCCACATGACCTCGAAACATACGGACCAAGATTGGCGTATTGGGGGATGATCCAGGATGGACGCGGAACCCTGCCGGGCTGTCCAACAAGGACCGCAAGCTACAATGGGCAGCAACTGATCAAATACAGACTAAGTCGTTATCTTTTTGGTCAAGGGTTGGACTGGGTCTCCTGCATTTCAGCTGTGTCATGCGTTGTATGGTTGGGTAGTATGCATGAGCTGCGCCGCCCCCTCCGGAGATGAACCAACAGAACCAACCAACAAGTCCAACGACCGTGGGGGTTGTTGAAAATCGGGCATTCTTTTAATCTTCTTGCTGGCCGCGGAATCTACACTTGTATTGACCGAAGTCATCCGCAGCTCATAGCTCTTTGCAACTACTTGCGCAGACTCCTACAAACATGTCTCAAGCTACCCTCGATGCTGGAGCTCTCGATGAGTTGAACTCTGTCGAGACTCGAATTTTGTTCGACACAACCGACAAGCTTTCCTCGCTTGGCATCGGCAAGATCGTCAATCTCCCCCAAATCATCGTCGTGGGGGACCAGTCATCCGGGAAGTCATCTGTCCTTGAGGCCATCTCTCATGTCAAGTTCCCGGTTAGCTCGGGCTTGTGTACTCGTTTTGCCACAGAGCTGGTCCTCCGCAACGGCACCCAAAGACGCATCAAGGCCACCATTCGGTTCCACAACGATGTAAAACCTGCACAGGAGATACGGGTCGACTTTTCTGAGGGAGAAGACATTGGCAAAGTCGTCGCGGCTGCCAAAGAGCACATGGGCCTCACCGATTCCAACAGAGGATTTTCCAAGGACGTTCTTCGTCTGGAGGTCGAAGGTCCAAACTTGTACCCTCTCACCCTGGTCGATCTGCCTGGAATTTTCCACACCGCGACAGCAAAGCAGTCGGCGGAGGGTAGAACGACCGTCATGGAGCTGGTGGAGAGTTACATGGAAAAGAAGAACAGCATCATTCTCGCCGTCATATCAGCGAGTAACCAGCTCGCCAACCAAAGAGTGCTGGAGGAGGCCGCGAAACACGACCCTGCCAGAGAGCGTACGCTTGGTGTCATTACCAAGCCAGATCTACTCCACCCAGGATCTCCAGACGAACTCGAGTATCTTCAAGTAGTCAGAGGTCGCGAGGTCGTTCACAACCTCCAATTGGGATGGCATGTGTTACGCAACCTTCCAGATTACGGTTCATCAGAGGCAGATGCTGACTCTCGGGACGTGGTCGAAAGGAAGTTTTTCGAATCTGGATCCTGGGCTTCCATACCGATAATCCATCGAGGTATATCTGCTCTACGGAAACGTCTTAGCCATATTCTTCATAATCACATCAAGAAAAACCTTCCAAGTGTTCTTGAAGAGATTCAGGGAAAGCTTGCTGATAATGAGGCTGAGCTCGCACGCTTAGGGCAGGCCAGATCCAGTGCTACAAGTATGAGAGCATATCTCGTGGACATTGCGGGAGAGTTCGAGAGACTCGTCCGCGACGGCCTTCAGGGCCATTACAGTGACCCGTTCTTCGGCGGATTTGATGGGACTGATCGGAAGTTGCGCTCTCACCTACGAAATTTCAATCGAGCCATTCGTCACATCCTCATTATGCAGGGTTCATTGCAGAAGATTTCCCCGGGCGTTTCTGGTCCCAGAAGACGGAAGATCATGCCTCTACATCTCGAAGAGTTCCTCGAAAAGCATCCGTACGACCTTCCCATGCCAGAACCAATCACTTGGTCAGAGATGGCCACTCAATTGGAGCGGCAAGCGGCCGCAAATCAGGGTACCGAGTTTCCCGGATATGCCAACACGACCTTGATTGTGCAGCTGTTTCAGAGACAATCGAAGCCCTGGGAGGCCATCGCCAGGCTACACTTGAAGAAAGTCGTCATTGTTGCGAAGGCATTCGTAGACCAGGCGTTTGAGCACGTCGCTGGGCCCTTGGGCACTTGCAGTACCACTTCCACTATTTTGTCGACTTGCGTCGATCCTTTTTTCGATGCAAAGGAGGAGATTCTCGAGAACAAGTTGCGGGAGCTTCTTCGACCCATCCAGGAGGGATATGCACTACCTCTTGACGCTGACTTTCAGGAAGCTGTGGATCGCAGGATTTCTGATCGTGACTTGGAGGATGCCTCAGGGGAGTCCGACAATGATAATTCAGACGACGACAGCTCGGAAGGATCACAACGTACGGGAACAGACCTACCACATCGACGCACTGAGTTTGGCACCGGGTGGGCCATAGAAACAATGCAAACGTTCTACGAAGTAAGTTATATTGTTTTATTGACTTCATCAGCCGTAAGCTTACTGACTCGGCGCAGATGACGTTGCGCACATTTACAGATAACCTGATCAACCTTGCGTTAGAAAGCTGTCTTATACAAGAGCTTCCAAGAATTCTAACGCCAAAGGACGTCAACGCAATGGATGATGCAAGGTTAGAGGAGCTCGCGGCCGAGTCGGAGGAAATTCGTGTGCGACGCACACAGCTGCAGAGCGATATCAAGCTGCTCAAGCAAGGACTGGATCAATGCCGCCGATATAGGCCCAGAGGCGTGACAAGTAAGCATATCTCCGTGCCGTTCCAACTGAAAGACTGAAAGAAAACGGCTCAATAACCATTTTCTCAGTTCAACCAACTAGTCCCGCGAAGAGCCTTCAGCGGGAGATTGATGGAGTGTTGTCTACAAATGGTAAACAAGTGTTGTATCGCTTCAGGATTAGAGTTTATACTGACTGCTGATAACAGCTACACTTCACGGCCGACAATCGAGCCCAGCACCCATACCAAAGGCAGTTCCTATCGTCAGACCACCCACGGAAACTGACGAGTCGGTCAATTCCACTCCACCTAAGAAGGCGAAGAGACTAGTGGTCAAATTACCTCCCTCCGGAAGCCATGCGCCAACTGCCGAGAAGTCTGAAAAAGTCTTTTCAACAAAAGATAGCGGACTCTGGAGCAATACGTATAAAAAGCCTGCCGGGTTCAGTGACAAAACCAGCACCACCTTGAATCCGAGCCCAAGTCAGCCTCATTCAAGTTCAGGTGATACAAACGGGACATCGAGACGATCCTCAGAGCATCCAGAAACGTTCCGCTTCGAGAAGGGTTTTGGAGGGCTAGAAATCAAAGAAAGCAAACCCCTCTTCGGAGGGTTCAGTGGGAGCCCAAGTCGTCCCTTCAACTTTGAGTCTCAGAACCCTGCCGCGGTGACTTCACCATTCGGATCCAGTGAAGGAAAGGTCCAGGGTGAGAAGGCCAGCCTTTTTGCATCGATGCGGTGAAAAGCTTTCTTCTTCGGCTGACCTACAGAAAGGCCGTGCACAATTAACAGGGCCAACCGCCATACTCAACAGCAGCCCGGTGATGCTGCATGACCCTCTTGCTCCATGGACTAGCCATGAAAGGCCTGACGAGATACACGGCGGAAGGGAAAGATTTGGCCACATTTGTTCCTCGGAGACCTTTAAGAACTTTTCACCTGAAGAGATCAGGCTGGCAACGTATAACTTACTCTCGTATCCTTAGTAACTGGGCAAGTGGCCGTCGCGTAGTGGGGTCTTAGTGAATCGATCCGGTACCCATAGTAAGCTAAGGTAATTCCTGAATGTACAAACTTGATTTCATGCAACCGGCATTGTGATACAAATAGAGCAAGAGAAAAGGGGAAGGGAAGGGAAGGCGAATAAGATTCATGTTATCTGGCCCTCTGGGCCATTGCGGCGAAAGTAGTCAGAATTGATTTGCGGCCGCTTCTCACTCTCAGGATATCAAGTCTCATTCCAAGCCTTTTGTCGTCAGCACAGCCCCAGACACCGTCGAAGGTTGGCCTCTAGATATTCCAAGGCTCCTATCTAGGTGCCCAAGGCTTCAAACGGGAGCAACCGTAGAGACAATTTTGACGAGGTGTAAACTTCGAAGCTAGACCCGATAGGAGACTTTAGGCAATGCCAGCTCGTTTGCATGGAGAAGTACAATCGCACCTTAAGCGTGGTTGGATGTCTTTGGAGCAAGCATCAAAATTGTTACGAGAGGTGCAACTGGTAAGACTACGTCCTGCATTTTCTTAAAAGTTGCGGTTAGACATTTTCAGACTTTTCGTCATGGTTGATAAAGTGAATTATACGAAAATAGACGACATCGGAACGTCGAAGCAGCCGGTTAACCGTTTTATCCATCTTCCGGAACTCCTAAGTTTGCTTATTTACACTACCTTCATTGTTCAACTATGCTCTTTGACATTTGAGGATAAATCAGATCCTTCAACTTGAAGCACTGATCACTCTCGGCCTCGGTATTGACATCACTTTGAAATATCTTCACATCTTTGTCAGCCGTAATATCCGTCTCGATAATATCCAGCCGGATTATCCGAATTATGAGGTCAAAGTCGCGATGCTCACCATGAAGAGACCTTTAGCATCGGACAACGTGACAATAATCTGGTGGGACCATACAACTTGAACATGGACCGGAAGCATGACCGTCGTCCCGGTAGGCTGAAACCACAGACAAAAAGCATTGGCGAATCGGAACTGGTGTTGGATCACGGCTAAGCACTGGGCGAGTTCAGCCTCTCCTTCTACGCGCTCGGCCTCGCTCAGGGCACCGACCTCCGAAAAGAGGCTAACAGAGGACAGTAAATCCTACCTTCGGATTATTCTTTGCCGCTTTCCATCGAAAAAGTGACGTCAAGTTGAAGGTCGGGGTCAGGTCCGTCGCACAAGTCAGTTGATGTATCACACATCAGACGAGACCAGGCACACACAACAAAATTTGCCTTTGTGATGAGACTCTCGACCACTGTGTGGCGGCCCTGCTTTCCTTTCCCTGACCTTTTGGAAAATCTCCCGAAAAGCTTTTTGATCCTCATCCCCTACAACACTTTATTCATGCCAAGAAATGGTCCCATTTTCGCAACGTCGCATTGAGCAGGCGAGTCATTGGCAAAGGGGTCATCTGAAGTACGAGACTGGAGAGCATCACGACGTCCAACACCAACCGTAACACCATTATTTGCATAGTAGTTGCACCCGTGGTGCATTAGCAATCGAAGAGGAACAATCCGATTACTTGCGCTTCTATCATCTCATTGATGTTTACACAGCCCGAACCTAGCTTGACACTGATCGCCGTTGGCCATCATGGACGAGCTTGGCATAGTCATATTCTGTTTAGAATCAGTTGTTTGATGTGAGCGAAGTGATTGGCTGTAGAGTGAAGGGACAGGGTGGCAGAGCCAGCTCTTGGTGGTTTCCAGGCGCCATCGTCTCATACGGCGGTCTCGTCATTGTGGTGGAAGACTTCAAGTGGTCTGGTGTCAAATGTGGTGGATATTGTTCCTCGGCCTTTAGAGACACGCTCCTTTGGTCCGGCATCGAAGTGAATCGTGAGGCTGACGATGATCCACGGGAAATAGAAGTTATTGCCCATGACAAATTTGCTAGGCTACAGCTTGTCGAAATATCCTCATTGGGTTGTTTCTCCGTCCCACCCCTCGTCATCAAACGCGCGGGAGACGTTCGCCTCCACACAACTAGATCCACAAGAGCTGTTCTGGGCAATAGGATCCTGATGCAATGTTTCCGCAGTCTTGATTATGAAGCAATCACTTGAGGCCCATTTTTAGCCAAGAGCGGAATGTGGGAAAGTGTTAGCTTGCTTTGATAAAGCTTTGGATGTCACCAAATGACAGCTCTTTGACCTCCACATCCAAAGCTGCAAAGGTCTTGGCAGTGGGGTTCTGATCTAAAATGTTTCCTGGTCGCTTGGCATCAGACGTTGCAGATATCGGGATACCTACGGTCTCACTTGGTCGACCCACCGATGCCATGCGCGAAAACGTGCCCAGGAATGCACCGTTGAAAGTAATTGAACTCGCAGATAGCTTCGTGGACAATGTCGTAAGCCAATTCCGTACTATCGTGCTCACTTGCGTCAATGCTGCTCTATTCGTAACTTAAGAGTTCCGACTCCTGACTGTAGACTGAGAACCCCAGCCCATGTGAGACTATCTCATACAGACACAGAATCACATAGAGAATGCTAATGAGTGCCTCTAACAGGGCCTCATAGATGCAACTGCCAAGATTGTTTGGTATATGTTAGTGTCAAAAATCCAAAGCTTGGCTCGAATGTTGTGTACACACGCGAAGACCCTGCTGAAGGCCATCGCTCAAGACAGTGTCCGTGCCATTTCTGAAGCAGAACACCCCCGAAAGGCAGGAATACACGGGCTATCTACGCGGGGTCTTGGACCTTGATCGTTGACATCTGCAATGTTACCTCAAGTATCCCTGGCGCCCTCGTGCTCTTGTGCCATTCTAGCCTAGTCTCGTGTGCCGCGGAAGCGGGGGGACGCGGCTAGTGTTTCCTAGTGCCCGTAGTATCCTGCCACGTCTGATCACGATGTCAGGTCCCACGAGGAAAGGCCACCTCTGGCCTCTAAGTAGCTCAAATTTCAATATTCATCTGACGTGCGGCGTTTTGAGCTTCATCGGTATTCCCGTTTACAACAACCTGAACCCTTCGAGTCGCTGTCACCCAATTTTCCTTCAGGTTTCGTCGTACGACCTCAGAGCTTCCCGCTCACAGGAAACATCTAGTAGCGTCTCAGGGTAGGTAGATGGGGGGCCGTTCATCTTCAATTTCTAACGGTTCACTGCAGGCTAGCCACAACAAGATGAAGGATTGAACTCATCCGCAAAGTAGTCGTCGAGGTAAAATAATGGGGTTAAGGAAATATCGTGGAGCGGAAGGGAGATGGCATGGGTGTCCACAGCAAGCCTCGCGGACCGCTGGCCTGGATAATGACAGATTTTCCTATCGACAACAGACAATTCCGCCCCAGCCTCGCTGAGCTCTTCTAATTCGTATTAACTTGCGATCAAGGAATGAAACCCATTGGATAACGAGACTCGGGCAGGCGGAGCCACGAGCTCCCCGAATCCGGGTAGTCCCCTCTTTGACGCCGAAACGCGGAGGCGTTTCGCTGCGGGCCAAAGCGCTACCTATCCGTCCTCTTTGAAGACAAGCAAGACAAGGTCAAGGCTTTCTTTACCGAAGGCGAGATCCCCAGACCAAAACAATAGTTGGAGATTCCCGAGATGAATGCCCTGGACAGCGTCAAGGTCCAGCGCTGGGAGGCGGTGAGGTTGCATCTCGTCGGTATATTGTGTTGTATGCGCGCGGATATCTTCAACAACCCGTGTGCAACATCCATTATACACTAGTGAGATCTCCCGGTACGACTTCGGATCGGCACATCTTATTGTGACCCTTCCAATCATGCACTGCCGTTGTTTTGACGTGCTAGGTATGGGGATGCTAATCACACGGGTTCAGTGTCAGGTTACATCGATCTCGAAGAATGAGGCTCTTGGTGTGGATACCAGCCTCAACAGCATACCAAGTGGTGATAATATCGATTGCTACTAATGGTGGGTGGTGAAAATGGTGTATGGCCAGACTTCCCCTCACTTTGTCGGCCGAGAAGGGGGCCTGAGACGGGAGAGTCGGCGTTCTGTGACGCTGCGCATCGGTGTGGTTTCCTGATGGGGCTGATTTCGTCCCATAATTGCATCAAACTTTGGCCGCTGG